GGAATTTTGGTTAAGTTTCGTTGGTTTTTTTTAGAGTTTTATCCTTTTGCCGTTTTGTGAGTGTGTTGTTGTGTTGTTTTTCATTTTGAGTAGATATGTTTGTACCTTGTGGGTTGTGTTATGGGCATGGGAATTTTGGTTAAGTTTCGTTGGGGTTTTTTTGAGTTTTGTTGTTTTGCCGTTTTGTGAGTGTGTTGTTGTGTTGTTTTTCATTTTGAGTAGATATGTTTGTACCTTGTGGGTTGTGTTATGGGCATGGGAATTTTGGTTAAGTTTCGTTGGGGTTTTTTTGAGTTTTGTTTCCTCGTTGGATGCCCCTAACAAATTTATATATATAGATATTATATATATATATATATATATATATATGCTCTGTGCATAATGAGTACCTTAAAAACAAAAGAACCAATGAACGAAATCACACTCAAGTATTATTCAACGTTTTTGTTTATCCGACTTCCTGCTGATCCATTTATGATGGATAAGCGAGACTCTACTGTACATTCCCCATTGCGGTCACTTCTCAAAATAAAGCCGTGTTTTGCTGGTGGCTTGTTCCTTTCCCTTGGTAGGATAAGAGGACAGCACCAGAATAGGAAAAGGTGTGTCTCACGCCCCCTTCTCACCTGCAAGAGGCAGCAGCCTTCACCTTTGGCGCTCACAAACAGCCCCGTTGGGATGGAAGGAATCTGGGGGGGAAAGAGGCAAGAAGGGCTGAAGCAGGGAGAAGTGCATGGGTGCACCCGCCTTTACCAGGAGCATCTTCCTGTTTAATAATAATAATAATAATAATAATAATAATAATAGCAATAATAATAATAATTCAAAGTGCTGGTTTTAACCTACAAAACCCTATACGGTTCCAGCTCGGTTTACCTGTCCAATTGTATTCTCCCCTATGAACCATCAAGACAATTAAAATCTTCTGGTGGGGCCCTGCTCTCGGTCCCGCCACTTTCGCAATCGTGTCTGGTGGGAACGAGAGACAGGGCCTTTTCTGTGGTGGCCCCTCGACTATAGCCCAAAAAAACCTACAACAACCCAGTGATTCCGGCCATGAAAGCCTTCGACAATACATTTTGTACTTTGCCTGGAAACTAATTGGCAGCCAGTGGAGTGACTTTAGGATAGGTGTAATACAGTGGTTCTCAACCTGTGGGTCCCCAGGTGTTTTGGCCGACAACTCCCAGAAAATCCAGCCAGTTTACCAGCTGTTAGGATTTCTGGGAGTTGAAGGCCAAAACATCTGGGGAGCCACAGGTTGAGAACCACTGGTGTAATGTGCTCACTCTTGGGTGTTCCTGCAACCAACCTGGCTGCTGTATTTTGATACAGCTGAAGTTTCCGAACTTGGTACAAAGGTAGCCCAATGTAGAGCACATTGCAGAAGTCCAGCCTTGAGGTTACCAGTGTGTGCACTACCATCTTCAGGTCCTCCAAATCTAGGGGAGCAGCTGGCATATAAGCCCCCCATACCATTGTTGCATCTCCCTGGACTGACATTTTGAGAGACGGACCTAGGAGTCCTTCTCCTAAGCTGCGGACACAGTCTTTCAGGAGGAGTGGGACCCCATCCAGAACTGGTTGACACACCCAGGTGAGGACCCTTGATGGCAAGCAGCTGTTTTGCCTGTTTCAATGTGTTTTCCTCCATCCAGCCTATTAGCTCCTTCAGGCATCCATTCAGAGGAGAGATGCTCTCCTTAGCTGTTTTGGAACGCATGGAGATATATATTTGGGTGTCATCAGCATACCAATAACACCACACCCTATGCCTACAGATATTTTATGTAAACATGACATGAAATATTACCACAGTGCTCTGGAGGATCTTCTTGTTGGCTCGGTTCAGCTCAAAGGTCTCCTGGAAGTCCAGGTTGGTGGAGGCCAGGGAAACAGTGAGGTTGACGCCACCAATGTAGGAGAGGATGGCATACTCGGCCAGGGCCTGCAGGGCCACACAGGTGTCCTGGGAGAAGAGGAAAGGAAGAGGGCAGGTATGTGACCGTATCTCCCTCCATGTACCATCTCGGGCCCTTCTTTCGCCCCTGCCAGCTTCACAAGCTCACCTGGTAAGCACAAGGGAGAGAGCTTTCTCCTCTGTGGCTCCCCGACTTTGGAACTCACTACCAGGAGAAATTAGGAAAGCACCTACCCTAGAAACCTTTAAAAAGGACCTTAAAATCTGGCTCTTCCGCTGAACCTTTGGAGAGTAGGTATACAATTCCACACTACTGCTTAGCCTCAACGTTCTGTCATTGGAGTATATGTCGTCCCCCCTCTGTGGGAAAGCTTGATTCCATAACCTCCGCTACAATGAGCTCTCCTCCGCAAATAATCTGTCTTTTTTATCTCACCCGAGTTTTAAATTAGTTTTAATTAGTCTCTCTTTTAATCATTACATGCAGCCCGCCCACTGTCACTGTGATTGTGTCTATTGTAACTTTATATTGTTATGTATTTACATGTTTTATTTTATTATGATGTTGCTGTTTACTGTTTGCGTTTTCGGTTGTGTTTTGGTTTAATTTTTATTGTAATTTGTTGGTCGGGCTTGGCCTCATGTAAGCCACTCCGAGTCCCCATTGAGGAGATGGTGGCGGGGTATAAATAAAGATTATTATTATTATTATTATTATTATTATTATTATTATTATTATTATTATTTCTAAGGGCCCTCTTTATATTGCCTAACCTGGTTTTGCCCCCCTGCCACTTGCAGGAATGAGCACTGACTATGCTGAGGGATTGTGTCACACCTTTCGAGATTAAGAGACTCAGGCTGGCAATAGATATTTTCCTATGTGCAAGTCTCCTTCCTTCTCAGACGAGTACCTATGGATGCCCATTCCCCCCTCCTCCGGTCCTCTTGCCTCATTGGGGTCTCACCTGTGTGGACGAGAAGCCCCCCAAGGCATTCCGCTGCTGGGAGAGCCACTTGACCACCGGCAGTGCCGAGGCCACATCCCCCAGCACTGTGTAGGTCAGCAGCGCGTAGCCCGTCATCTCCACTTCAGCCGACACCACTGGGAGGGAGAGGGGGGGGAGTGGGTTAGGTGGCTCCCAATGCCCACAAGAGGCCCTCAAGGTTGAACTTGTATCTTGGGCTCTCTCCCCTTCCTCTGGCCACTGAGAGAAGAGATATAAGGACCACGCTCCCGCCCAGGGCCAACCCCCTTTTTCATTGTTTTCTCCCAACACAAAGGATTCCCCCCCCCCCCTCCAACCTCCCTTAACCTCAATGGAAGTAATGAGGAAACTCTCTTCCTCGGCTCTGCCTGCCCTGGTGTCCAGAGCATCACCTGATTGCGAGAAGCCATCATTGAAGCCCATGAAGCTGTCCTCATCTGTGGCGAGGGTCCCCATCAAGCTCCAGTGGGTGAAGCCATCTGAAAGAAGGAAGGGGGAGCTGAGGTGGATTGGGAGCACAGCTTCCCTGCAGCCCCCAAAAGGGAGAAGAGACCAGGCCTGCTCTGGCTTGCCAGGTCATTGTCATGAAAATATGATGTGCAGATTTGATACATTTAGATTTAATATGTGTGGGTATGAATGGAATTGAGTGAAAGATGAATGAATGAGAGCTAATAATTTTGGAGATACCATTCTAAAAGATGAAGGCCTGCAATGATTAACTGCCTGCTTGCTGGACTGTATTTAAAACCTGCTAATGAGAACTGAAAAGTCAACTGTGATACGAACTGTGACAGTGATAAGAGAAACGTTTCTGCCTCCATGTTTTCTCCCTCTATTTGCCCCTGGTGGCGCACTGGGTTAAACCCCTGTGTCGGCAGACTGAAGACCGACAGGTTGCAGGTTCGAATCCAAGGAGAGGCGGATGAGCTCCCTCTATCAGCTCCAGCTCCTCATACAGGGACATGAGAGAAGCCTCCCACAAGGATGATAAAAAACATCAAATCATTTGGGCGTCCCCTGGGCAACATCCTTGCAGACGGCCAATTCTCTCACACCAGAAGCGACTTGCAGTTTCTCAAGTCGCTCCTAACACGACAAAAAAAAAAATCAAAAAATCAAACTGGTTGCCATAATCTTGGTTTTTTTTATGTTTAACTGCAACCCAGCGTTTGCACTTTCTTCTCTCACCTTGATTAGAAAGCTTCTCAGGTCCTCCTCACTTTCGGCCATCAAAGTGGTATCATCTGCATATCTAAGGTTGTTAATGTTTCTTCCAGCAATTTTCACCCCAGCCTTGCATTTGTCAAGCCCCGCACATCGCATGATGTGCTCTGCATACAAGTTGAATAGGTTGGGTGAGAGTATACAACCCTGCCATACGCCTTTCCCAATCTTGAACCCATCTGTTGTTCCATGGTCAATTCTTACTGTTGCTACTTGGTCTTGGTAACACCAAATAGAGGGAGAAAACATGGAGGCAGTGACAGACTTTGTATTTCTAGATGCAAAAATTACTGCGGACGCAGACTGCAGTCAGGAAATCAGAAGACGCTTCCTTTTTGGAAGGAGAGCAATGTCCAATCTCGATAAAATAGTGAAGAGTAGAGACATCACACTGGCAACGAAGATCCGCATAGTTAAAGCAATGATATTCCCCATAGTAATCTATGGATGTGAAAGTTGGACCATAAGGAAGGCTGAGCGAAGGAAGATAAGACGCTTTTGAAATGTGGTGCTGGAGAAAAATTCTGAGAGTGCCTTGGAGCGCGAGAAGATCCAACCAGTCCATCCTCCAGGAAATAATGCTGAACTGCTCATTGGAGGGAAGGATATTAGAGGCAAAGATGAAGTACTTTGGCCACATCATGAGAAGAAAGGAAAGCTTGAAGAATGATTCTGGGGAAAATGGAAGGCAAAAGGAAGAGGGGCCAACCAAGGGCAAGATGGATGGATGGTATCCTTGAAGGGACTGGCTTGACCTTGAAGGAGCTGGGTGTGGCCACAGCCAACAGGGATCTCTGGCCTGGACTGGTCCATAATAATAATAATAAAACTTTATTTATACCCCACCACCATCTCCCAAAGGACTCGGGGCGGCTTACATAAGGCCAAGACCAACAAATACATCAATATAACAACAAGCAATTAAGCAACTAAAACAAGGACATCTAATCACCTCTCAACAAAAGATTGCTCCAGGCACTGCCAGGCAATCAAATGCTAATCAAGGTGGTCAGTTGAAACATTCACACCTAGCTCCAGCAGACAAAAGTCCTTTGTCCCACCCTGGTCATTCCACAGATATATAAACCCCTTTTTCCTAGTTCCAACAGACCTCACTACCTCTGAGGATGCCTGCCAAAGATGCAGGTGAAACGTCAGGAGAAATGCCTCTAGAAACATGGCCATATAGCCCGAAAAAACCTACAACAACCCAATTAAAACACAGTACAATATAATAAATAATCTATGAGCAATAACACACAAAAATTGAAACACTGTAGGCAGGGCCAGATGTAATCAATTAATTTTTTTTAAAACACTGGCGTGAACAGAAATAAAGTATGTCTAAACAGGGGGATTGTAGAGGATAATGTGGGGGCATCAATCCATCGGGTAGATAAAGTGCTTCAGAGGACATATGGCAGAGAATTAATCAGATCAGGGCACTGATTCCTTTATTCAGGGAATGCACACTGGAATAGCCACGTTTTCAAGCTCCCAATGTGGGGGCATGTGTGATATCCTTGGGGAGTGAGTTCCAGAGTCAGGGGGCCACCATAGAGAAGGCCCTCTCCCTCATCCCCACCAATCGTGCCTGCGAAGGGGGTGGGAGTGAGAGCAGGGCCTCTCCAGATGAAATCCTTCCAGTGTTTGGTTCAATTCCATCGTTAGTGGAGTTCTGAGTGCTCTTTGATTGTATGTGAACTACAACTTCCAAATGACAAAATCAATCCCCCAAACCCCACCAGTATTCAAATTTGGTCTTATTGGGTATTTTTGCCAAATTTGAATACTAGTGGGGTGGGGGGATTGATTTTGTCATTTGGGAGTTCTAGTTGCTGGGATTTCCAGTGACTGAAAATACACTTTGCATATCAGATATTTACATTACGATTCATAATAGCAGCAAAATTACAGTTATGAAGTAGCAAAATAATGTTATGGTTGGGGGTCACCACAATATGAGTAACTGTATTAAGGGTCACGGCATTAGGAAGGTTGAGAAACGCTGCTTTAGAAAGACTTTAGAAATGAAACGCCAGTGCCCCCTAATTTTGAAATGAGTTTTGAAACATCTAGGAATTCTGGGAGCCAACGTCCAAAGCACCTGGAGGGCCACAACATAGCGGAGGCACTCCCAGGGCTGCACCAACTCACCTTGCGTGATTGCCAGGCTGTTCATCTTGCGCAGCGCGGCTGAGGCCAGGGGGCTGTGCAGGAGCGCAAGAGCATAGGCCGTCAGCACGGCAGTGTAGGGGTCCTCGGCCGGGAAGACGCTGGACTCCAGGAAGCGCTTGGCTTTGGCCACTGAGCTTTTCTCTTCCTAAGCAAGGGAGTCGGGGTCAGAACATGTGCCCATCCTCTCCCTTCCCCTCCCCTTCATAGGCAGTCCTTACAAATAGAATAATAGAGTTGGAAGAGACCACATGGGCCATCTAGTCCTACCCCCAGCCATGCGGAAAAAGCACAATCAAAATAACCCTGACAGATGGCCACCCAGCCTCTGTTTAAAAGCCTCCAAGGAAGGAGGTCCTCACTCATTGACTCTGCTATTGGTTATTCACATGCTAATGAGTGGATCCCACTGAACACTTGCAAATCTAGCTTAATAATAATAATAATAATAATAATAATAATAATAATAATAATAATAATAATAATAAATATATAATATTATAATAATAATACTTTAATATAATAATAATAATCCATCTCCCCCAGGGGGACTCAGGGCGGCTTACATGAGGCCATGTCCATGAGTACAAAAAACACAATATTACACAAAAACAAAACCAGAAAATCTATATAAATAAAAATGTAATGTTCGTTTGTGGGATTAACATAACTCAAAAACCACTCAACGAATTGACACCAAATTTGGACACTACACCCCTAACAGACCAACGAGCGACCATCACTCATAAAATCTCCCCCAAAACAGGGGAAAGGACCTTAAAAAACCCCAAAAGCTAAATGATGAAAAATTAAATGACAATACAGAAAAAAGAAAAGGAAAAGGGAGGGAGGGAGGGAGGGAAGGAAGGAGAGAAAGAAAATAAGAAAGAGAGAAAGAGGGAGGGAGGAGGGAAAGAAAGAAGGAAGGAAAGAGAGAAGGAAGGAATGAAAGAGGTAGAGAAAGAAGAAAGGAGAATGGGAAAAAGGGGAAGGAAAGAGGTAGAGAAGGGAGGAAGAAAAGAAGGAAAGAAAATAAGGGAAGGAAGGAAAGAGGGAGCGAAGGAAGGAGGGAAAGAAGGAAAGGAAGAGGGAGAGAAGGAAAGAGAGAAAGAAGGAAGGAAAGAGGTAGAGAAGGAAGAAAGGAGAGGAAAAAAGGGAAAGAAAAAAGGAGGGGAAGGAAGGAAAGAGGTAGAGAAAGAAGGAAGGAGAGAAAGAAAGAAAAAAAGGGAGGGAAGGAAGGAAAGAGCAAGGGAAGGAAGGAGAGAAAGAAGGAAGAGAAAAAGTGAGGGAATGTTGGCCACAGCAACGCGTGGCGGGTACAGCTAGTAAAATACATAAAATGCAAAAGCCAATATAATAGACAACACAGCAATATAAAATCAAACATTAAAACACAAGTACCCTTCACACAATGGTACTTTCTCCCACCCTGGACATTATTCCACAGGTGAATATTTCACTTGCTTGACTCCCATGGGATCATCTGCAGATGCCAATATCCTGGCGAAACATCAGGAGAAGCAAATGCTGCTTGAACACATTGGCCATACAGCCTGGAAACCACACAACAACGCTCCAGTGATCCCAGCTTGCTGTGAAAGCCTTCTACAACACAATTCATCCATTCCCACCAGGGAAAGAAGTGGAGAGATATTGGGGTGGGGGGGAGGGGTTTGAACATCAGGCTGGTCCTGACCTTTCCATGCGACCAAGTCTCAGGCTTTGTTTGCCTTTACCTCCGAAGCGACTCCTGTCTCCAGCAGAGCGGCCACCACGTACGCCGTCAGCGAAGTCTTCCCGTGGATCCCACCCTGGAAGGCAAATACACGGGCTGCAAAAAGGATTTGAGGCCCCATCCCAACCCAAACGGCTCCTTTCCCCCGATTTCTGTGCACATGAGAAAAATGGCAAGGGTTAATTACTTCAGCACAAAAAGAATGCCTTTCTGGCTACCCAGTTTCAATTTTTTAAATGGCCACCATTAGGATGCACATGGTTTTAAATGCATGTTCTCTTCTTGGGTCAAGTTTATTTTTCTATTTCCTGCAATGATGCTGCACCTCCAGAATTCCTCAGCAGCCATGTTGCTTGGGAGAAACCTGGATAGCCTAAAGTTTTTCTTCTTATTACTATTAAATAATAATAATAATAATAATAATAATAATAATAATAATGTTAAAAATTAAAATTAAAATTAAAATAAAATAAAAATAGTGTTAAAAACTAAGTGTGGATTGTCGATCCCAGGTGACAGCAGGATTGAAGAGAAACAATTGGAAAAGCTGACACGATATGAGGATTTAAAGATCGAACTGCAAAGACTCTGGCACAAGCCAGTCAAGGTGGTCCCAGTGGTGATCGGCACACTGGGTGCAGTGCCTAAAGACCTTGGCCTGCACTTAAACACAATTGGCGCTGACAAAATTACCATCTGCCAGCTGCAGAAGGCCACCTTACTGGGATCTGCACGCATTATTCGCTGATACATCACACAGTCCTAGACACTTGGGAAGGGTCCAACGTGTGATCCAATACAACAGCCAGCAGAGTGTCTGCTGTGGACTCATCTTGCTATATAGTAAGCATTTGCAGTATAGTTGATTTTGCCCAGGGGCGCTCTTGAGGCACTCTTGGGGAAAATAGACCTTGACATATGCGAGTTGTAGTTACTGGGATGTATAGTTCACCTACAATCAAAGAGCATTCTGAACTCCCCCAATGATGGAATTGAACCAAACTTGGCACACAGAACTCCCACGACGAACAGAAAATATATATCAGTGATTGGTTGGGGGGTGGGGTGGGAAATACTGTTTGCTTACCGTTGAAAATTACCTAGGGCCACCTCTGTGTGGACTCATGTTGTTGCGTTAATAATAATAATAATAATAATAATAATAATAATAATAATAATAATAGGAAGAGAGGAAGAAGAGGAGGAGGAGAGGCAGAGGAGGTGGAGAGGTAGTAGCAGAAGAAGAGGAGGAGGGGGAGAAGTAGGAGAGGAAGAAAAAGAGGGTGAGGAGGAGAAGGAAAAGAAGAGGAAAAAAGAGGAAGAAGAGAAGGAGGAGGAGGAGAAGAAAAGAAGAAAAGTAGTAGTAGTAGTAGAAAAAGAGGAGGAGGGGAGAAGGAGAGGAAGAAGAAGAGGGGGAGGAGGATGAGAAGAGGAGGAGGAGAAGGAGAAGAGGAGGACAAAAAGGAGAAGAAAGAGAAGAGGAGGAGAAGTAGTAGAGTAGAAGAAGAAGAGGATGAGGGGAGAAAGGAAAGGAAGAAGAAGAGGGGAGGAGAAGGAGAAGAAGTAGGGGAAGAAGAAAGAGAAGAAGAAAGAGAAAAAGAAAGAGGAGAATATAAATATGTCTTCAATCCTGGCTCTCTTGACTGAGAGCTGGCTCTTTCAACCATCCCCCATTAAATGCCTCCCTTTGGCTGCCTGTTCCAGCCACCCGATCCCCAGAGCCCCTTCCTTTCCTACCTGGATGTCCTTGTTCAATATCCTGCCCACGGCTGGGAAGGATCCATCTTCCTTCTGGTGTCGGATGATCCAGTCCTTGGCGGTCGAAAGCTCCCGTGGGTCGATGAAGATGAACCCTCGAGACTGGGCAAAGGACTTGAGAACAAAGGATGTGAGCCTGGGGACAGGAGAAGAGGTTGGGAGTTCTAGCCTGAGTGGGAGCGATGCCCCCCCCCCCCCCCCCCCCCCCGCATGCACATTGCCCTATCGCCAGAGGACGCACCACATGCTTCCGGAGGAATCCCTCTCCCCAAAGGCGCTATAGGAGCCATCCTGCCTCTTGTAGGTCAGCTGGCGCTGGTATCCTGCAGAGAGAAGGATGCCAAGGCAGAGGAGGAGAAGGTGTTGAGGCATAGGGCCCACATATCTTTAATCTCTTTATTTCTCAGTCAAAAATAGGAGGTCTTAAAGGGAAACACCAATAATTTTCTCAAGTCCCTGTTCAGGCACCAAAAAATGTTGAGACACAGTGCCCCAATATCTCTAGTCACTTTGATTTCTCAATCAAAGGCTAGAAACGAGGAGATAAAAAATACAATAGCTGAACTCTACAGAAGATCTAAGGGGTGGTTGTCAAATTAGCAATAGCGGAGGACCACACTTGACTGCCATGCATCATAAGTTTCACAACCTGGGGGTCGGAACCCCTGGAGGGGTCGCAAGGGGGTGTCAGAGGGGTCGCCAAAGACCATCAGAAAACATAGTATGTTCTGTTGATCATGGGGGTTCTGTGTGGGAAGTTTGGCCCAATTCTATCATTGGTGGGGTTCAGAATGCTCTTTGATTGTAGGCGAACTATAAATCCCAGTGACCGGAACTCCCAAATGACAAGGTCTATTTTCCCCAACCGCCACCAGTGTTCACATTTGGGCATATTGAGTATCTGTACCAAGTTTGGTCCAGAACCATCATGGTTTGAGTCCACAGTGCTCTCTGGATGTAAGTAAACTACAACCAGAGGTGGCCCTAGGTAATTTTCAATGGTAAGCTAACAGTATTTTGGCGCCCCACCCCAACCAATCACTGATATATATTTTCTGTTCGTTGTGGGAGTTCTGTGTGCCATATTTGGTTCAATTCCGTCATTGGTGGAGTTCAGAATGATCTTTGATTGTGGGTGAACTATACATCCCAGTAACTACAACTCGCATATGTCAAGGTCTATTTTCCCCCAAGAGTGCCTCAAGAGCGCCCCTGGGCAAAATCAACTGTACTGCAAAGGCTTACTTTGCATAATGGGTTGAGCCATCCCTGACTACAAGTCCCAAACTCAAGGTCAATGTCCACCAAACCCTTCCAGTATTTTCTGTTGGTTATGGGAGTTCTGTGTGCCAAGTTTGGTTCAATTCCATCCTTGGTGGAATTTAGAATGTTCTTTGATCGTAGGTGAACCATAAATCAGAATGCTCTGTAGGTGGACTATAAACCTGAGCAACTACAACTCCCAAATGACAAAATCAATCCCCACCCCACCAGTATTCAAATTTGGACGTATCAGGTATTTGTGCCAAATTTGGTCAGGTTACTGAAAATACATCCTGCAGATCAGATATTTACATTACGATTCATAACAGTAGCAAAATTACAGTTAAGAAGCAGTGACAAAAATGTTATGGTTGGGGGTCACCACAACACGATGAACTGTATGAAGGGGTTAGGAAGGCACTGGGAAGGTTGAGAACCACTGTTTTATAGTCTCAGATTGACACAAACACATACACATGCAATCAAACTTCCTTTTCCCCTCTCTCCTGTTTGTATGTTTCCTTCATCTTATCCTTCAATTTCAGCGTCTCTGTCTCTCTGTTCCTTCAGTTCCGAAAACAATTCTTGCTTTGAAAAACATTTCCTGCACAATCTTTCCCTCCTCCCATCTCTGTTGGGTCAACCCAATCTCCTCCTGACCTCTCACATGTTTTGCCTGGCAACACTTATATATTTCCAATTTCTTCACTCTTCTCACTCCTTTGGCTCCCTCTCCCACCTCTCCTGTGTCAACAGGACAGCTGACAGACAAGTCAGTGGCTTGAATCCAGAGAGAGCGGGTTGAGCTCCTGCTGTCAGCTCTAGCTTCTTACGCGGGAACATAAGAGACCTCACAACCTCTGAGGATGCTTGCCATAGATGCAGGGAAAGCATCAGGAGAGAATGCTTCTAGATGGTAAAACATCCGGGCGTCCCCTAGGCAACGTCCTTGCAGACTGCCAATCATCTCACATCAGAAGCAACTTGCAGTTTCTCAAGTCACTCCTGACACAAAAAACCCCCTCTTCTTCTTACTTGTAAAACAAACCTGGCCCCAACCAAGACACGTACCTTGCACCAGGTAGTCCATGGCTTCGCTCTCCACCTCTGGGCTGAGCTGCTTGGTCTTCTGGAGATACTTGAGGACAAAAACGTTGGGGGCAAAATGGATCATGTTCTGCTCCCCGCAGCCAAACGGCAGCTGAAGAAGGTTGTCCAGGTGGTTGAGTGTCGGCCCCATCACGTCCCCTGGTGGCAAGAGAAAAGCACAACTGGGACAGGCCATAAACCCAGCCCTAACCCACACGAAGCCAAGGGCCTACAACCCAGGAACCAGCAGGTTATGGGCCCAGGGACATGGTTTTTATGGACATATTTGTCTCATCGCCATTTATTTATTTAAAACAGGTGTCCTCAAACTAAGGCTGGGGGCCGGATGCGGCCCTCCAAGGTCATTTACCCGGCCCTCGCTCAGGGTCAACCTAAGTCTGAAATGACTTGAAAGCACAACAACAGCAACAACAGCAACAACCCTATCTCATCAGCCAAAAGCAGGCCCACACTTCCCATTAAAATATTTATAAGTTTATATTTGTTAAAATTGTTCTTCATTTTAATTATTGTTTTGTTTTAAAGTGTTTTTGCACTACGGTATAGAAGGCCGCTGAGAGGACCAGAAGAACCAACAGGGACACACACACCCTGTCGAGCTCTCTGTGGAGATCATCCACTAAGGTGATCCGCTCTGAATCTGAAATGTCACCCCAACTCTCTGCATTCCACTTCCGCCCCTCCTTGCGTACCAATGACTGAAGCGGTGGCTCTTTCTGACCCTGGAATGACATTATGAGGGACCCCCAGCGTGAAGGCTTCGTTGTGGTTCTCATCCGCCTCCTCTTTTCTCCAGATTTTGAACTCGCCGATCGAGCCCCAGCCAGTGGAGAAACCCACGTACTTCACCTCCAGTGGCTGAGGGGCCGCCCAGGTCACAATGACTGACTCGTTGAGGGCGGAAGGACCGTGGCCCACCTGCGGGAGGGAAAAGAGAAGCGGGAGCATGCTGAGTAGAGACTCTGAAGGCTTTTCCACAGCACCTTGGATGGGGGATTTTGGGAACTCCATAGTGCCAGAGGTGGACCAGGTCCAGAAACCACAGAAAATGCTCTAAGAAACAAAGGAAAGCACCGCTACGCACCTCCACCTGCCCATTTGCCAAAGAAAAAGAATTAAAAACATTCATGCCAGTATCCAGCTGCACACTCTAATCTCTTCTGAACTGCTATTTTCTTTAAAAGTCTTTCCAGAGCTACAGGATAAAAAAAATAATCTCTTACAACAGGTTCCAAGATCTAGAGGTATTCTCTCCTGACGTTTCGCCTGCATCTATGGCAAGCATCCTCAGAGGTAGTGAGGTCTGTTGGAACTAGGAAAAAGGGTTTATGTATCTGTGGAATGAACAGGGTGAGACAAAGGACTCTTGTCTGCTGGAGCTAGGTGTGAATGTTTCAACTGACCACCTTGATTAGCATACAATGGGCTGACTGTGCCTGGAGCAAACCTTTGTTGAGCAGGCAGGGACATCTAATTACCTCTCAACAAAGGTTTGCTCCAGGCACAGTCAGCCCATTGTATGCTAATCAAGGTGGTCAGTTGAAACATTCACACCTAGCTCCAGCAGACAAGAGTCCTTTGTCTCACCCTGGTCATTCCACAGATATATAAACCCTTTTTCCTAGTTCCAACAGTTCCACTACCTCTGAGGATGCTTGCCATAGATGCAGGCAAAACGTCAGGAGAAAATGCCTCTAGAACATGGCCGTACAGCCCGAAAGAACCTACAACAACCCAGTGATTCCAGCCATGAAAGCCTTTGACAATACAGGTTCCAAGATCTTTTGTAAAGAGGGGAAAAGCAAGTTTTCCAAATGGTTGTTGTTGGTATTCTTTCGCCCCAAAATAAGGACTCAGAGAACCCCATATCCTCCATCTTCCCGCGCACCTGAATGACTCCGCGGTCCCATCGGATCCAAAAGGTCCGGAACTCATCCCAAGAGAGGATGCCTTCCGTCTTGGTGCTGGCCACCGGATCCCCCATTTTGCTGGCTGAGATCCATGTCCGGGAGTTCTGCTGCCCACCAATGACAATTTCGACCATCTCGGCCATGTCATGGGGGGCTGACGACAGGGCCACATGGGCATTGTTGTGGGCCTTGATGGCCACCTCAAAGTGCGTCATGCGGGCCGGCTTCTGCATGTATTGGAACTCGTATTTGTTAGGAGTGGAAATGTGGATTTTCTCTAGTCGAAAAGGAAAAAAAGTGCTGTCAGTGCTCAGGACTCTCTGGGGAGAAAATCAAGGAGTCAAGGGAAGGTTTGGAAATAATAATAATAACAATAGTAATTGTTATATTTATTATTATCATTAATATTATATTTATTATTATTAGTAATAGTGGTATTTATTTATTTATTTAGAATTTTTATATCCCGTTCTTCTCTACTCCGTGGAGGGACTCAGAACGGCTAACAGCAAAAATTCCATGCTAGACAATAAATAACAATTTAAAACAACGTACATAATACAGTAAGTTAAAAATGCATGTAAGTTAAAAAAATATATAAAACAATTCCCCAAGTTAATAGTAATAGTAGTAGGCTTTCATATTTAACATACTGTATATACTCGAGTATAAGCCTAGTTTTTCAGTCCTTTTTTTATGTTGAAAAGGTCTCCCCCGGCTTATACTCGAGTCAAGGTTATTTATTATTTTGTTATTATTACATTTATTATTTTATTGTTATTTTTACATTTATTATTTTACACTATTTATTATTGTTATTGTTACATTTATTATTTTACTGTATTGTTATTATTACATTTATTATTTTACACTATTATTGTTGTTGTTATTAGTTTACTCTATTATTATTGGAAGGATATGTAAGCATATTTACATTGAAGAAGGTTAGAATAATGGTTTAATCAGAGTTGGACAGTTTTATCTTGAATTACAGTTTTATGTGAATATTCAAATACATTTAACCTACTGATGCCTAAATTAATACAATTTTATTGGTATCTATTTTTATTTTGAAATTTACCAGTAGCATCTGCATTTCCCACCCTCGGCTAATACTCGAGTCAATATGTTATCCCAGTTTTTTGTGGTAAAATTAGGTGCCTCGGCTTATATGCGGGTCGGCCTATACTTGAGTATATACGGTAACTAAAAACACATACAGTAGAGTCTCACTTATCCAACTTAGGAGCCCCCGGTGGCGCAGTGGGTTAATCCCCTGTGCCAGCAGGACTGAAGACCGACAGGTCGCAGGTTCGAATCCGGGGAGAGGCGGATGAGCTCCCTCTATCAGCTCCAGCTCTTCATGCGGGGACATGAGAGAAGCCTTCCACAAGGATGATAAAAACATCAAATCATCCAGGCGTCTCCTGGGCAACGTCCTTGCAGATGGCCAATTCTCTCACACCAGAAGCAACTTGCAGTTTCTCAAGTCGCTCCTGACACAACTAAAAAAAAAATTACGGATAATACGGAGTCTCCTACTGTTACCCATCCAATGTGGCGCTAGACACCTAGAATACTAACAAGAGGGACTCAAAGGGTTAAAGCAAGCCAACGCCTCGGGGCTGGAGAGATCCAGCAGGAAGTGCCCGGATGCGGAAGAGGAGCGTGGAAATCACAGAGGGAAGGGGAGAGGACGCTTCCGCTTCTGGTCCTGCCTCTTTTTCCCCTTTCCTCCCTCCTTCTCCTCCTCCTCCTCCTGATTTTTTCACTACTGGGAATGGAGAGAGAGTTGGGGAGCACTCCTTTAATTGAAGGGGAAATGCTGGAGGAAAAGGGGAGCGTTGGATAAGAACATCGGATAAGATGGAATGTTGGATAAGCAAAGGTCGGATAACTGAGACTCTACTGTAATCAAATTAAATATTTCTTTAAGTGAGACACAGTCTCAAAGAAGCATAATACATTAAGGACTTCAATTTGGGTCCATGTTGGGCGCTCATGTGTGGCTGGGACTTGTTCACTTCAGTTTGTGGGAGGAAAAATACATATAGACAGACAAACCGAAACAATGCAGATTGCTCTTACCATTAGGACAGAAGAAAACACTGTAAGTGTACTCCCTGGTGAGTCCCTCTGGCTATGGAAAAAATTAGAAAAAGTCACTGCCAGTCGTTTTTGCGCTGGGGAAAAAAGCCAACTCCCCTGCGGTGCATCACTCACCTCGACAATGATGCTCCTGCGGATGTAGTCGACCCCGAGGGGGGCCCGTTTGTCTGGATGGGGGTCTTCAGAGTACTTGCCACTTTTGGCGAATGGCCCACTCTCCTGACAACAGCCACTCCCACTGAAGGCAAAGGCTTTGGCTAAAGCCAAGACAAGAACATGCATGAGTTCTGTGTGTATATTCCAGAAAATTACGGGCAAGCAGGGTTGTTGTTCCCAGGGCCGCCACTACCTGTGATGTTGTTCTGCCCCAGTTCAGCAAATGAGAGGACGACGGAGGTGGGCCGGGCCTTTCCGGGGCCCACGCACTTCTTGCGGGTTAGGTGGTGTTTCCCGGGATGTCCCACAAAGCGGATACCTTTGGGGATGGAGATCTTCACGTGGACCTGTTGTGGACAAGGACGCTACAAGAATTAGGTTTGTTATAAGTGTGAATTTTAATTAAAAATGAAGTTTAACAGTTATGGTACAGATCGCAAAAAGAGGGAGGATTAGCACTCCCTAATATTAAAAAATATTATGAAGCGAGTAGATTAAGACTGGTTATAGAAGGAATGATAAAAAAAGAGGGAGTAGATTGGTTAAGAAATTATTCGGAAGAAGAAATTTGGAATATATATTTTTAAACAGTTTACGAGAAAAGAAACTAGGGAAATTAGAAACCCAATGTTGAGCAATATATTAGAAGTATGGAACAAATATAGGAGAATGTTAATAACGGATGGTTCAGTAATAACCCCAATTGTAATGGAAAAGAAATTTCCAAAAATTTTTTTTAAGTAATGGATAAGAAGTTAAGAGAAAAAAATTAGACAAAATAGGGAACTGGATAAAGGTTGGAATAAAGTAGGAAACAATTATGGAAGAATTTAGAGAAATAAAATTGACATGGTTCCATTGTATACAATGAGAACAATGGTTTAAAAATTGGGAAAAAATAATAAAAATGGAAGTAAGTTTAACCAATTTGAACAAATAATACGAAATGGAAGGGTTGTAGAGGAGCATGAAAATTTGAAAGGAGTAACTAGTAAAATATATGAGATAATAATTGAAATAAAGAAAGGAAAAACAAAAAATAACACCCTCAAGGAGGTTTGGGAAGAAGATTTAGGGATAAAAATAAATGAAACAGAGTGGCGACAATTATGGAGACAAAGACATCTAAAAAAATATCAATACGGGTTAAAGAAAATTATTATAAGTTAATACGGAAATGGTACCTAACACCAGTAAGAATAGCAAATATAAATAAAAACTATTCAAAAATTGCTGGAGAGGATTGTCAAGAATCAGGAACATATATACATATGTGGTGGCAATGTAAATAATTTTGGGGGGAAAGTATTTAGAGAAATAGAAGATATAATTAATATTAAAATAAAAAGAAGTCCTAGTATAGCTTTATTATCATTATATAATAATAAGCAATTGAACAAAGAGGATAAAGAAGCGATAACAAATTTATTAACAATAGAAAGACTGCTTATAGCAAGGAATTGGAAAAAAAGAAATAAATATACAAATAGAGGTGTGGTACAAGGAAGTATGGAAATTGGCAATAAATGATAAGCTGACATATATATTAAAAGTTAAAAGAGGTATTGAAATTTTGGACAGATGATATGTAAAAGCTGTGGCTTGGGAGGGGGAGGGGAGCACAGCAGTGAGGGATAGATAATATGTATAAGCAAAAAAATAACACTAGATGCCAAAAGTATGGTAGGTTGTATTGAATAATATCTATCTGCTGTAAAACAAACAATGTATAATAAATGTATTAAAGCATGATAAAATAATAAAAATATTTTTTTAAAATGAAGTTTAAGAAGTTGGGAAAAGGAATGGCTGTTAGGAATTGTGGGAGCCGATGTCCAAAACAACTGGAGGACAGCTGAAGTTGGCCCTTGCATGCACTAACTTCATGCACACTCACTGGGTTGTGTGTATGCGTGTGTGTGTGCAGATATGGGTAAGATTTCTACAAACCACAGAGCTACATGAGAAAAGCAAGGGGACTCACCTCCACGCAGAGCGGCAGGTAGTTGTGGACAGTCAGCAGGATCTTGGTCTGCTCCCCCCGGATCACACGGTATGGGAGAGCGAACTCAAGGAAGAAGGGCTTGAAGGTCCGCAGGCTGGCCTGTGGGGCCAGGCCAAGGCCGCTCTCCTCAGACAGCCCCACAGCCTCCGCCAGCCACGTGGTGATGGAGTCTGGCACCTCCACCCACAGCACCGCTTCTCCAGAGACCTCGCTTTCAAAAAGAGTGGGGGAAAGGGCATGTTGATTCACAAAGGGGCTTTTCAGAGCTGGCAAGAGACTGATCGTTCTCCCATTGCGTAGCAGTTTCGCCACCCCGATGCCTTCTAGAGCACTGTTTAGGAGCTTAGGAATAGCACTACGGCAAGCAAGACCCAAACTGGGACTGCTCCTGGCCCAAGAGGATTCTGGGAGAAAGTCACTTTTGGGGTAGCGATGGACCAAATCCATCCATCAGCAGGGCCCCAAAATAAAGCACCCAACAGGTCAAGATCAAGCCATTAGAGTAAGGACAAAGATCAACCCAGAGGAAAAGTGTTATTATCATACATCAAGAAAACCATAGACTGTATAGGGAAGCTGATGAAGAAACACAACCTACAAATGATCTACAGACCCAAGAAAATCCAACAAATGCTACATTCAGCAAAGGACAAGAGCGATCCTCTCACCTCTGCAGGAGTCTCCCGTATACCATGCAGCTGTGGACAAGAAGTCTACAGAGAGACCCCCAAACGCAGCGGCATTGTCCAAACATGAATCAAGGAATAGGAAAGGCACTGCAGACTACTTCAACCAGAGAAGTCAGCCATAGCAGAGCACTTAGTGAACCAACCTGGACACAATATATTATTTGAGAACACAGAAATGCTGGACCACTCTCACAACCACCATGTCAGACTACACAGAGAAGCCATTGAAATATACAAGCATGTGGACAATTTCAACAGAAAGGAGGAAACCATGAAAATGAACAAAATCTGGTTACCAGTATTAAAAAACTCAAAAATCAGGACAGTAAATAAAGAGGAACATTAAAAAATACAGGGGAATTCCAGACAGGAAACTATCAGGGCCAGCTAACACTTCTAAACAAAGGATTCCCCCAGGCAGGAAGCAGCCAGGCTTTGAAGGTGCAAGGCTTTGCAATGGTAATCAAGGTGATTAATTGCAACATTCGAACTTGCCTCAAACAGACATGAGTTCTTTCTCCCGCCCTGGACTTCCCACACCTAAATAAACCTCCTGTGCTTAGTTTCTAATATACCTCACAACCTCTGAGAATGTCTGCCACAGATGTGGGCAAAACGTCAGGAGGGAATGCGTCTGGAACATGGCCATACAGCCTGTAACAGCAACCCAGTAAAACCCTCCTTCCTGGCAGGATAGGGGCAAAACTATGTCAATTTGGGGATTGTAGTATATCTATTATCTGTATGTTGCTGTGTTTCTTATTTAGTGAATTAAAACATCATAACACCTGATGAAGACATTGAGAAACAAGGGAAACAACCCGGGAGACCTTGTTGTGTGTCACTGTCACTGATGTTGTTTATGGAAGAAGATCTTTCGACAACATAGAAAGTGTTATTTTGTGTCACTGTGCCTGACATTGTTTAACTGTTATTTTGGAAGCTCTAGTTTCACTGTATTGACAAAGTATTGATAAACCGTGTGTCACTGTCTCTGATGCTGTTTATGGAAGAAGATCTTTCGACAATATAGAAAGTGTTATTTTATGTCACTGTGCCTGACATTGTTTAATTGTTATTTTGGAAGCTCTAGTTTCACTGCGTTGACAAAGTATTGAAAAATTATCTTCTATTTATAAACAGCCTTTAATTAATTGTGTGAATGTTCTCATGTTACATTCAATGTAGAAATTCTGGGAACATAGAAATTGTGATTTGCCATCTACAGTTTTTGTAATTGTTATAGATATCTGTGCATGTTACACGCAAAAGTGTGATGACCCACCATTACCTGAAATTCAAGCAGCGCCAAAGCCAAGTTTCCGGGAAGAAAGTCCTTTTCCTCTTGTCTGCTCTGCAGGGCGAGAAGAGACAATGGTTAGTGTTCACTAGCCATGCTGGTTTGTTTGGGAGGATTCTGGGAAGGCCAGGCCCCTCCGAAACACAGGGCCAGAGTAGAGAAGGCCAATCCTGGGTTGTTTCCATCCCATGGCTCATTGCTCCAACGCCTATCTTCCCCACTAGCTGCCCCAAGAATAAAGAAAACGTCTCTACCTGGGCAGGGCTTTGGGGTGAGGAGAAGCAACAACCAGAGTCCCGGTGTGAGGCTGGAAAGCCGGCACGGCCTCGTCGGTGTACATACCCCTGTGCTGCCGGTGATTCAAGCTGACGAAATCAGTCATGACCACCAGACCGGTCTCCTACGCGACAAGCATGAGATTATGGTCCTGTCAACACCCATTTCAGCCTGTCCCAGGGCCAAAAAAACCCACATAACCTGGAGAGGAAAAAATTGCAGGATACGGAGAAGACTGGGGGAGAAAGCCGCAATGGGGTCACTTCGCTGCAAGTTCTGTGGGATCACTAATCCTTAACCCACCCTTCCTTTCTGGAGTGTCCAGGGATCTCAGGCTAGAAAGGTCAGATAAGAGCCCAAATGTCTCCTTTGGAATCCATGCACACAGAAATAGATTAAAACAATACAATTAGCTTTAAAACAACCACAACAATAACAATAGGTAGCAAGGACAGACATAGCCCGAGTTGTTCACCCATCAAAAGCTTGCCGGAAAAGAAAAGTTTTACAGTCTTGAATGGTCTGAGTTTCCACCGGCAAGGCATTCCATAAATAAGGGGCTACGATCGAGAAGGCTCTCTGCCTAGTAGATGACAAGTGATAAGTCCGGATGTTATGGACTGTGAGCAAATTTTGGTCTTCAGACCGGAGTAATCTCTGGGGTTGGTAGGGGGATAAGCAGGCCCTCAGGTACGCCGACCCCAGACCATATAAGGCCTTAAAGGTTAGTACCAGCACCTTGAAAGTGATCCGGTACTCAATCGGTAGCCAGTGTAGCTGTTGGAGAATTGGGGTGATACGACACCTCGCCGGCACTCCGGCGAGAAGACGAGCCGCCGCATTTTGCACCAGCTTCAGTTTCCGGATCACTGACAAAGGAAGGCCAATGTAGAGGGCGTTACAGTAGTCAAGCCTCGAGATGACCATCGCCTGGATCACCGTGGCCAGGTCGTTCCTAGATAGGAAGGGAGCCAGTCGCCAAGCCTGATGTAGATGGAAAAACACAGATCTGCTCACAGCAGAGACCTGGGCCTCCATTGTGAGCAGAGGGTCCAATGAGACACCAAGGCTTTTTACAGAAGGTGACGGACGTAGTGTCTCGCCATCCAGAGTAGGCAACTGGATCTCCCTCCCACCCGGACGGCCCAGCCAAAGGATCTCCGTCTTCGCTGGGTTCACCCTCAACCTGCTGGCACGCAACCATCCAGTAATGGCCTCAAGGCACTGATGGAAATTTTCAGGTACGGAGTCCGGCCGGCCCTCCATCCTCAGAATGAGCTGAGTGTCATCACTCAAGCCCAAAGCTTTGCACCAGTCGGACAAGTGGTCGCATATAGATGTTAAATAACAGAGGAGAGAGAATGGCTCCCTGCGGGACCCCGCATACTAGTGGAGACCTCTCGGAAACCATCCCTTCCCTCACCTCACGCTGTGACCGATTCTGGAGGAATCAGGACACCCACTTAAGGGGTATCCCCCTAACCCCAGTAATGGCTAGGCTGTGGAGTAGTAGATTGTGATCGACCGTGTCAAATGCTGCTGTGAGGTCCAATAACACCAGCAGCGCTGATCCTCCTTGATCCATCTGGCAGCAAAGCACAATCTCCGTCCCGTGACCACTACGGAAGCTGGACTGGAAGGAATCGAGTTCAGCTGTGTCAGTTAGGAACTGCTGCAGCTGCCCTCTCAATAATAATAATAATAATAATAATAATAAAAATAATAATAATAATACACTTTATTTATAACCCGCCACCATCTCCCCAAAGGGGACTCGGGGTGGCTAACATGAGGCCAAGCCCAAAATAATACAACATAATAAACACACAATAACAAAATACATCATAACAAAATATGAAATGACAAAATCAACAATATAAAACAGCACAGTAAACACATAGAGCGGGACACAAAAATGAATGGCAACAATCCCAGAACAAGGCTGCGGGACTTTTTGATAGCAAAAAGACAGGGATTCCAAGGAAGGAATTGGAATCCCTTTGACAGGAAAGGCCACCTGTACTTCTCCGGGAGGATTTGCTCTTTTGCGACCATGATTTTATTTGCGCTGTTTCCTCCCTTTGTCATCACTTCACAACCAACTCCTGGAGAGGAAAGTGAATGGCCTCACCGTGAAGGCAAAGCGGGAATCCTTGGTGACATCCCAGTGCCAGGGGAAGATGGAGGAGCGACGGCGACGGCCATGCAAGGACAGCCCGGGCCACCAGAAGTGACCATCATCCTTGTTGGCTCCAAAGGCGTCCGAAACGTCATACTCTGCAAGTTCCTGGAAGATCTGTGCAGGGAGACAGCATGTGCTTATTGAATCATAGAATCACAGAGTTGGAACAGACCTCGTGAGCCATCCAGTCCAACGCCCTGCCAAGAAGCAGGAAAATCACATCATGCCCTCTTGCTTGTGACCAAGAAGACGTGATGCGTGGAGGAAAAAAACTGTATGATTGGATTCTAGCTAAGGGTTTATTGAGGCTTGCGAAGGCTGAAGACATAATCTAATTCAGTGTTTCCCAACCTAGGGATTGGGACCCCTGGGGGGGGGGTTGCGAGGGGGTGTCAGAGAGGTTGCCAGAGACCATCAGAAAACACAGTATTTTCTGTTGGCCATGGGGGTTCTGTGTGGGAAGTTTGGCCCAATTCTATCATTGGTGGGGTTCAGAACACTCTTTGATTGTAGGTGAACTATAGATCCCAACAACTACAACTCCCAAATGTCAAGGTCTATTTTCCCCATATTCCACCAGTGTTCACATTTGGGCATATTGAGTATCTGTGCCAAGTTTGGTCCAGGTCCATCATGGTTTCCGGGTTTTAGCCTGCCACTTTTGGACTCTCACTTGCTGAGGTGTTCCAGCGAGTATCTCTGTAGACCTTAGAAAACTATTTCCTGATTTAAGGTGTTGGTGTGCAGGTTGATATCCGAACAGGGGATGGGCCGGAGACAGGGGCAGCTCAACCATTACGCAAAGTAAGCATTCGCAGTATAGTTGATTTTGCCCAGGGGCGCTCTTGAGGCGGGAAAATAGACCTTGACATATGCGAGTTGTAGTTACTGGGATGTATAGTTCACCTACAATCAAAGAGCATTCTGAACTCCACCAATGATGAATTAAACCAAATATGACACACAGAACTCCCATGACGAACAGAAAATACATATCAATGATTGGTTGGGGGGGGGGGGCACCAAAATACTGTTTGCTTACTGTTGAAAATTACCTAGGGCCGCCTCTGGCCGGAGATGTCACTGCCTTGGTCCTTTCACTATTGGCTGCAACTTCCCCACAGATGCCAGGTGGGGCGTATAATTTCTCCAGTGGTGTGGGGTGTAGACATCCTGTGATAATGTGGCATGTCTCATTAAGAGTCACATCCACTGTTTTAGCATGTTGATATGTGTTCCACATTGGGCATGCATATTCAGCAGTAGAGTAGCCAAGTGCAAGGGCAGATGCCTTCACTATGTCTGGTTGTGATCCTCAGGTTGTGCCAGACAGCTTTCATATGATATTGCTTCTAGCACCCACTTTTTGCTTGATATTCGAGCAGTGCTTCTTGTACGTCAGAGCAAGGTCCAGGGTAACTCCCAGGTATTTAGGTGTGCTGCAATGCTCCAGTGGGATTCCTTCCTTCCCAGGTAATCCTCAGACCTTGAGCTATTATTAAACCAGTATGATAGGGGCCTGTCTACTTCTTTCTCTGAAAGTGCCTGGTGCACTCTGTCCCACTGAAAACCGACTAAAGACCAGTTTTTACGGTTCAAAAAGTATTCACGGCAAGGGTCCCAGGAGGGAGTAAAAACAACCACTTTGGGGGCCTTTTCCCAGAATCCTCCAGCCAGAAGGGCTTCATTTAAGGACCTCTGGGAGTGAAATGCAGATACTTCCTCTGATCAGGAGACACAGGGCACAGTCATTACATCTGCCACAGCTTTCCAAAAAACAGGGTGAGCACAAAAACTAGCACCAAGCTCAGTCTGCAAGAGATCATGACCTTCATGTTCTCTTCCAGAGGAAAACTATACAGGCCAAAATCTTAATCTGACTGAGTACATTGAGGCAGGATATGAGAAAGGTTGCATTACCGGAACAGTTTTTGTTGACCTTACGGCAGCCTTTGACAGTGCAACATAAGAAAATGCTGCATAAAGTCAACCATAATATCCGGGACTATGATTTCACAAAAACTGTCCAGACCCTCCTAGGAAACGTAGCTTCTATGTGGAGTTTCAAGGCAGGAAATGTAGATGGAGGACGCAAAAGAATGGTTTACCCCAAAGCAGCGTTCTTGCACCGACCTCATTTAACATCCTCACTAACAATCAACCACAGCCATAACTCACAAAAAGCTTGATATACGCTGATGACCTTGGCCTAACAACACAAGCAAAAGACTTTGAAACAGTCGAAATCCAACTTACTAATGCCTTGAAAGGTCTCTCTAGCTACTACAAAGAGAACCGTCTGAAGCCTAACCCTGCCAAGACACAAGTGTGTGCTTTCCATCTACGGAACTGTGAAGCCAACAGGAAATTGAAAGTTGCCTTTTTTAATTGTTTTATTGGTTTTTCCCACTCCCACCCTCCCCTCCTTGTACATGCAATTTATACATCATACTACAGAAGTAGTTTGAAATTATCAGTCTCAGTCTTAATTTTTCTACTCCACATCTTAGCACATTCTCTAAATAAATCCTAACTGGTTCCCACATCCTCTTAGTTATTGTAACCTTTTCAATTTTGTCTGTATTATTCCATTTGCAATTTGTTATTTCCACATTTAACATATTAACTATATAGTTATACCAATTAATCAGTGTCCATTTTGGGTTGTTGTAGGTTTTTTCGGGATATATGGCCATGTTCTAAAGATATTTCGCCTGCATCTATGGCAAGCATCCTCAGAGGTAGTGAGGTCTGTTGGAACTAGGAAAAAGGGTTTATATATCTGTGGAATGACCAGGGTGGGACAAAGGACTCTTGTCTGCTGGAGCTAGGTGTGAATGTTTCAACTGATCACCTTGATTAACATATAATGGCCTGACAGTGCCTGGAGCAAACTTTTGTTGAGAGGTGATTAGATTTCCTTTTTGTTTAGTGTCCATTTTGTTTTATCTTTTCAACCCCTCACTAAAACAATTTGTGCACATGCTATTAATTTGTCAACCAATTTTTCCTTTTTTATAATTTTCACTCCTGTTATCCGTGCATGTAGTACATTTCTATTAATTATTACTATTTGTGAATTTCCCCTTCAATCATTTTCCAGTATTCTTGCACTTGATCACATTCCCATGTCATATGATTAAACACCCCTCTTTGTTCACAGCCATGCCAACACCTATCCTTTATCCCTGGTACAAAGCGTGAAAGTTGTGCAGGAGTTCTGTGCCATTTTTGTAAAATTTTCCTTCTGGCTTCCCTTAATCTATATATATATAAATGCTCTGTGTGTAATGAGTACCTTAAAAACAAAAGAACCAATGAAGGAAATCACACCAAATTTGGCAACAAAACGTCTCACAACACAAGGAGTGGTCATCACGCAAAAAAATTACGATTCTGTCATTTTGGAGTTGTAATTGCTGGGATTTATAGTTCACCTATAATCAAAGAGCATTTTGAACTCCACCAACAATGGAATTGAACCAAACTTGGCACACAGGACTCCCCTGACCAACAGAAAACACTAGAAGGATTTGGTAGGCTTTGACCTCGGGTTTTGGAGTTGTAGTTCACGGCAACACAATGGGTTAAACCTGTGTGCTGGCTGAACTGCTGATCTGAAGGTCGGTGGTTCGAATCCGCAAGATAGGGTGAGCTCTTGTCTGTCAGCCCCAGCTTCCCATGCAGGGACAAGAGAGAAGCCTCCCATAGGATGGCAACACATCCGGACAACATCCCTTGAGCAATCTTCTTGTCTCTTGAACTGTGCTTATAATATAATATAATATAATTAATATAATATAATATAATATATAATAGTGATAATATTATACTACTACTAATAATAATAATATAATATTATAATTATGTATTTTATATTAAATGTAATATTACTAATAATATTACAGTACAATGTTATAGTACAATGTAATATATAATATTAATATTGTGTTATGATAGAATCATAGAATCAAAGAGTTGGAAGAGACCTCATGGGCCATCCAGTCCAACCCCTGCCAAGAAGCAGGAATATTGCATTCAAATCACCCCTGACAGATGGCCATCCAGCCTCTGTTTAAAAGCTTCCAAAGAAGGAGCCTCCACCACACTCCGGGGCAGAGAGTTCCACTGCTGAACGGCTCTCACAGTCAGGAAGTTCTTCCTCATGTTCAGATGGAATCTCCTTTCTTGTAGTTTGAAGCCATTGTTTCGTGTCCTAGTCTCGAGGGAAGCAGAAAACAAGCTTGCTCCCTCCTCCCTGTGGCTTCCTCTCACATATTTATACATGGCTATCATATCTCCTCTCAGCCTTCTCTTCTTCAGGCTAAACATGCCCAGCTCCTTAAGCCGCTCCTCATAGGGCTTGTTCTCCAGACCCTTAATCATTTTAGTCGCCCTCCTCTGGACACATTCCAGCTTGTCAATATCTCTCTTGAATTGTGTGCCCAGAATTGGACACAATATTCCAGGTGTGGTCTAACCAAAGCAGAATAGAGGGGTAGCATGACTTCCCTAGATCTAGACACTATGCTCCTATTGATGCAGGCCAAAATCCCATTGGCTTTTTTTTTTTATAATAATATAATATATTGTATTTCCTTTTTACTTGTAAGCCGCTCTGAGTGCCCTTCGGGGTGAGAGGGGCAGCATATAAATGTCATAAATAAATAAATAAATAAATAAAGGTATTTAGTCACTTGTGCTCCTTCTATTTTTTATCAGGTTTATACTAATTCATGCAATGTTTTTTATATGAAATAAACAAAATCTTCTCTGCATATCTGACCCACTTCTTTCACAGCTTCCCAGACCCATATAATATAATATAATATAATATAATATAATATAATATAATATAATATAATATAATATAATATAATATAATATAATATAATATAATGTATATTGGGAAGTCTGACTTGGCCACGGTAGTCCATGCTCTAGTCACATCCTGTATAGACTACTGCAACGCTCTCTATGTGGGGTTGCCTCTGAAGACCGCTCGGAAGCTTCAAATGGTCCAACAATCGGCAGCCAGGATGCTAACAGGAGCGGCACTCAGGGAGCATACTACTCCTCTGTTGCGCCAGCTCCACTGGCTGCCAGTTTGCTACCGGGCACAATTCAAAGTGCTGGCTTTGGCCTTTAAAGCCCTAAACGGTTCTGGCCCGACTTACCTATCCGAATGCATTTCCTCCTATGAACCAGTTAGGACATTAAGATCGTCTGGGGACGCCCTGCTCTTGATCCCGCCGGCTTCACAAGCACGCTTGGCGGGGATGAGAGACAGGGCCTTCTCAGTGGTGGCCCCTCGGCTGTGGAACGCCCTTTCTGCAGATATCAGCTCAGCCCCCTCCTTGCTGGCATTCCGGAGGAAAGTGAAGACCTGGCTGTTTGAACAGGCATTTGACTAGGCAGTGTGATTGATTGATTATCGGAACAAGGAATAATGGATAATGAGTTTGGATTCTGATTTCATTGATGAGACCTGATGGATTTGTTATATTGATGTACTGATGTATTGATGCTGATGTTTAATGATTTGTGATGCTATTGCTTTTAAATGCTTGATTTTGTATTGCGTACACTGAAATTGTTGTTAACCGCTCTGAGTTGCCTAAGGGCTGAGAAGTGCGGTATACAAACGAAGTAAATAAATAAATATATATATCCACTTTCACAAGAACAGGCCGCTTACTGTCGCAGAGTTCAGCTGGAAGCCTGGTTTGAGGAGGTACACACTTTTGTCCACGGCAGCCAGGCAGACGCAGCTCCCCTTGGCAGACCGCACCTTGATGGCCACCGAGTCGCCTGGCCTTGTCTCGTTTGCTGAAAATGTCACCGACACCTGGCGTTGAACAGGAAAAGAGGGAGAAGAAGCAGCAGCAGCAATGCTATCACGCCCCTACCCTTTCAGGTGCCCGAAGGAAGGATCCGGAAGCAGGCAGGAGGTGCCCCTACCTGATTCTCAAAGGAGGGCTGGACAGCGAACTGGAGGCTATCGGAGACCCCTTCGCCATTCTCTCGGACGTAGAAAGCCAACAGGCGGCCCAGCGGAGCCATATTGGGGGTGACCTGGAAGCGCAGGGTAGCCATGCAGGTCTCTGGAGCCAGGGTCGAAGGTGTTGGGGCTGAAGGGACATGGGATGAGGCTTGAGAGATCACAAACAAGAGGCCACATCCACTAATCTTGCAAACATGCTGCTCCCTATTATCTTCTATGCGGATGATGCGATGCTACTTTCCCTCTCTTGTATGGGGTTAAAATCATACTGTAAAACTGAACAACTGATAATGGACTACCCCACATCTAAAGTCATGGTGTTCACAAAGAAAAAAAATGAGACACAAATGGGAGGTTGGCAATCAGTCCATTGAACAATATTTTTTTTAAAAAAATCTGGGCACTATTTTTCAATCAAGAGGCACATGGGATACTCATATTAAAAACATCACTGTAAATACCCACTAAAGCAATCACAAGGTTGGGTTGCTGTCAGTTTTCCGGACTGGCTGGCCATGTTCCAGAAGCATTCTCTCCTGATGTTTTGCCCACATCTATGACAGGCATCCTCAGAGGTTGAGGGGTCTATTGGAAAACTAGGCAAGTGGGGTTTGTATATCTGTGGAATAATGTCCAGAGTGGGAGCAAGGACTCTTGTCTGCTTGAGGCCAGTGTGAATATTTCAATGGGCCAGCTTGATTAGCGCTGATTAGCCTTTCAGTTTCAAGGCCTGACTGTTTCCTGCCTGGGGGAATCCTTTGTTTGGAGGTGTTAGTTGGCTCATGTCTGGATTTCCCCTGATTTTTGAGTGTTGCTCTTTGTTTACTGTCCTGATTTTAGAATTTCAGAGAAGAATCAATCAGGGTCAGTTATCACCTCCAAACAAAGGCAGCAATCAGGTAGGCTTTGAAGCAGCAAGGCCATTGAATGCTAATTAAGGTGGCCAATTGCAATATTCACACTGGCCTCAAGCAGACAATAGTTCTTTCTTCCACCCTGGACAGGCATGTCGCTGGGGGGGGGGGCTTGGGGTGCTTCAGCCCCCCCCCCCCCAAATTCTGATGGTGGTCCGCGAGAAGGCCTTACTGGTACATTATTTAAACTGTTATGTTTATTCATATCATGATCTGATCAACATGCTCAATATATCCATATGCATGGGGGTATTGGGGTAACGATACAAAAGGTTTGCTAGGGTAGACCCCCTTTCATTCAAACTCAGCCCCCCCCCCCCCCCCCGAATCAAACTCAACTCCCCCCAAAACAAAATCCTGGCTACGGGCCTGACCCTGGACATTATTCCACAGATATAGAATCCCCACTTGCCTAGTTTCCAACAGACCCCTCAACATCTGAGGATGCCTGCCATAGATGTGGGTGAAAAGTCAGGAGAGAATGCTTCTGGAACCCAGTGATTCTAGCATGTGGACAATTACAACAGAAAGGAGGCCATTCAACGCTAATCAAGGTGGCCAACTGCAACATTCACACTGGCCTCATGCAGAGAAGTGTTCTTTCTCCCACCCTGGGCATTATTCCACAGATATATAAACCCAATTTTCCAACAGACGTCACTACCTCTGAGGATGCCTGTCATAGATGTGGGCTAAACATCAGGAGAGAATACTTCTGGAACATGGCCATACAGCCCAGAAAACCCACAACAACCCAGTGATTCCAGCTATGAAAGCTTTCAACAACACATGGATCACAAGGTTCTTCTTTGGGAAAGAAGGGCAATTTATTTCCGCTGTGACCCAGGTATTTGTGGTAAAAGTTATTCCTTCACGAGTATGCGCTTATAAAAATGTCAGCGCTTTCAAAACCTCTACACATTTAAAAAAGTGTGACTCCGTCATGGAAAGGTGGCCATCTTAATACAGCAACCCCCCCTTTTTCCCCAAATGGATATTAGCCCAAAGCCCATGCCTGCAATGTGAGTGATGCGAATGCTCCGGCTGCCTGAGGACGGCATCCTGGGGGCGGCCCTGTGACTCCTCTCCTGAGTCCAATTCCCAGGCTGCATCCCCGACAGCACAATGTTTCCCCGCGAGACCACTTCGTAGTGGAGTGTGAAGTTACACGGACAAGTGGATTTCACCGCCACACGGGCTTCTTCTCCCACCTAGGAGGAGGAGGAAGAGAAATGTCAGAGATGTTGCTGCAATGGAAACGGGCAGGATCGCACTCCCCTGACCCCAAGGCTCAATGATCTGCTACAATGCGAGAAGCAAGGGCAAACGCCACTCGTGGAACTCACTTCCACAAAATGGAGTCACAGTTGCCCACTTGGAGGGCTTTCAACTACATGAGGATGCTTTTGGCAGACTTGAGTTCCTTCCACACAGACGCTTAATAGATATTGGACTTTCATCTCCAGTCTGTTTTTGAATTATGGACTTCTTCTCTGGACGAAGAAGTCCATAATTCTTCGTCCAGAGGGTGAGATTCGGTAATCCTATCTCTTCAGCCCTGGCTCTCCACACTGGTGTCACATTAAAATGATGTGCGGATTTGATATGTGTGGGTTTGAATGGAATTGTATGAAAGATGAATGAAGGAGAGCTAATTTGACTGAAGATACCATTCAAAAATATTGAGGTTTGCAATGACTAACTACCTACTTGAGGAATTGTAATTAAAACCTGCTAATGAGAACTGAAAAGTCAACTCTGATAAGAACTGTGACAGTGATAAGATAAATGTTTCCATCTGTTGTTTCAATGATTGTTTTATTGCTTATGGATGTATTTTTTAATTTGATTTATGTCTAATTGTAATGTCTAATTGTAATTGTTTGTATTGGCATTGAATTTTGCCATTATTTATGTGTAAACCGCTTTGAGTCCCCCTCGGGGTGAGAAAACGGTATACAAATACTGTAAATAAATAAATAAATGCTTCTGTCAATATTTGCTGACCAGAAACAGGAAGAACTCTAAAGGAAATGATGGAAGATGACACATACAGAGCATAAAAAAAAATGAATGTTGAATTCCCCATGTACTCAGAATTTTATTTGCTAGGAATGTATGATGCAGAGATGGAACATCTTCCCCTGATGGAACATCTGCTCTGTTAAAACTATTTTAATATGTTTTATTGCATTTATATGTTTGAAATGTTTTATAATTTGATATATTTATTATTTTTGTTGCACTTATTGCATTTATGTTTTAATTGTTTTATAATTTGATATGTTATATTTATTATTTGTTGTATGATGTGGCATTGAATGTTGCCATAATCTGTAAGCCGAAAACTGACTGGCACAACCCGGGAATCACAACCAGACACAGTGAAGACATCTACCCTTACGCTTTGCTCCTCTGCCGCTGAATACTCATGCCCAGTGTGGAAAACATGCCACATTATCACGCTCTACACCAGTGGTTCTCAACCTTTCTAACACCGGGACCCCTAAATATGGTTCCTCATGTTGTGGTGACCCCCAACCAAAAAATTATTTTCGTCGCTCCTTTATGACTGTAATTTTGCTATTGTTACTGTTATTTTTTATTTACTATGTTAAAGTTTATATTATATATATATATATAATTATTTTATTTTCCTTGATGTTGTTATGTTGTTATTGGTATTATTGTTATTAAATTTATACGTTTATGTTTGTTTGTTGTTCCACAATACTATCTTTCTAAATTTATTTGGGGATCTTTTTGGGTCAGTTGCCTATCACAATTACTCCACTATCTTTTTCCTGGGTATATCTTCACCACTTTAGTCTTTTCTTTCTTTCTACCCTCCAGGTCGCTTCCTCCGTCACCTTCACCGCTTCTGTCTTTTTTCCTTCTATGCTTCCCTTCCCAAATCTCTTAACTTATCTGGTGTGTCTACTTGCTTCCTACTTCCCATTTCCTCTTCTTTTTTTCAGTTACCTTATTTCTCTCTCTCCCTCCCTCTTCCTTTTTCCTTCATCCGTGTTCTTCCTTTACCGTTCACTCTCCTCTCATGCTGTTTCTTTGCTCGTTCGTTACTCTGACCTTCTCAGCTGTTCCCCTCTCTGCCTCGCTCCTCTCAGCCTCTTCTCTTCCCTTCCCTTTCCTACTCTGTTCCTTCGCCCGTTCGTTACTGACGGTCACAGCTGATTCTCTGCCTCGCTCCTCACAGCCTCGCCGCCTCTTCTCTTCTCTCCCCTTCGCTCTCCTCTTTCACTGTTCTTTTGCTCTTTCGCTTGCCTGACAACCTCGCCGCCTCTTCTCTTCCCTTCGCTCTCTTCTCCCACACTGTTTCTTCGCTCTTTCACTGTCTCAGCTGTTTCTCTCTCTGCCGCGCTCCTCGGATGGCGGGAGAGCGAGACAGGCAAGGCAAGCTTTGCGCGGGCAAAGCCCGCACAGAGGATGCCAGGCCTGCATTGCCCCCTCGCTGAATGGCGGCAGAGCAAGGTAGGTGAGACGGGCTTTGCGCAGGCCAGGCCCGCATGGAGAACGCCTCGCCTGCCTCACTCCCTCGCCGAATGGTGGGAGAGCGAGGCAGGCCAGGCCGGCTTTGTGTGGTCCAGGCCTGCACGGAGGACGGCAGGCCTGCCTCACCCCTTCGGCGAATGGCGGAAGAGCGAGGCAGGCCAGGCGGGCTTTGCGCGGGCCAGACCCGCACAGAGGGCGCCAGGCCTGCCTCGCCCCCTCGCTGAATGGCGAGAGAGCGACGCAGGCCAGGCGGGCTTTGCATGGTCCAGGGCCGCATGGAGGACGCCATGCTTGCCTCGCCCCCTCACTGAATGGCGGGAGAGCGACGCAGGCCAGGCGGGCTTTGCACGGGCCAGGACCGCACGGAGGACGCCAGGCCTGCCTCGCCACCTCGCCGAATGGCGGGAGAGCGAGGCAGGCGAGATGGGCCTTGCATGCGCCAGGCCCGCACGGAGGACACCTCGGCTGCCTCGCCCCCTCGCTGAATGGCCGGAGAGCGAGGCAGGTGAGGCGGGCTTTGCGCAGGCCAGGTCTCGCGTGAGGGTGTCCTTGCCTGGCCGCGCCCTTGGGGCGGGGCCAACGGAGGTGGCCTCGCGACCCCTCCAAAATGGCCAGGCGACCCCCCTGGGGGTCGCGACCCCCAGGTTGAGAACCGCTGCTCTACACTGCTGGAGAAATTCCACTGTTTAGCCAGTATTGCACTACCTGACATCCTCCGGAAAGTAGCAGACCAAGAGTTTTTTGAGCTATCACGATGCGATTGATAGGGCTAAGGGAATCTCCCAACTTGATGTTTTCTCTCCCATCCCCAAACACCTCACAAGTATTAGAAAAGCAACCTCAAACTCAATGGTGGACATCTCAACTCTTACCTGGAAGGGCCTGTCAGGCACCTGGAGCTGGATGTGGCACTTGCTGGGTGAGTACCAACTGCTGATGGAGAGGTAGTTGGGCAGGTACTGATCTCTGGCCGGCTTCCCATCAAGGGCAATGACTTTGGTCTCAAGAAAGAGAGGAAGGATGGACACTCATTCTGGCCACATCTCTGCAGCTCCCCACTCCAGCCCCACAGCCCATTCCATCACCAGGAAGCAATAGCAAGCAGGACTGAGCTCCTCCAACAAGGCCTACGCTGCTTTTTTGTGGGCCCCATGCCATTGCCCCTCTGCCCCAAGGACATCTTGGGGCCCGCATCCTCAGCGGTCCCATCCTCGGCTCCCACCCAGTGCTAGGAGGGCCCTTCACCCACCTCCAGCCAGACGTACTGGGCAACGGGAGGGATGGATGGGATTTCGAACTCCACCAGGCCACTGCGGGAGACCAACTCGCTAGTGTAAATGTTGTCCTTGGGAGCCAGCTCAGCTTTGATCCGAACGGTCACTCCGTCAGCAGGGCTCCCATCAGGATAGGTGACCTCCACCTGGAGAGAAAGTCATGAAACAAAGGGAGTGACCTGGTAGAGAATGAGAGCAAAAAGACAGATATGTTGATTGTAATACAAGGTTTATCCGGAAAATAAGGTTCCAAGACACGTAGGGAATTTTCTGGGGGGAAGTTGGTCTCACTGCCGTGAAAGCAAGAAGCCAGTGAAAGCCAGTGAAAGCCAGTGAAAGCAAACAAGCAGTGCCAGTCATCAGTAGCTCATCGACTGGCATTGTGGTGAAGGTTGGAGATGTGCGTCCTCCTTCCATTTCCCTCCAAGTGCGAAGATCGCACTGTAATATGCTACCTAAATGCTAAGGGCATGAACACTGCTGCGATTCATGGCGAAATAGTTTCAGTTTAATGAGAGAGGATATAATGTCAAGACAGCATGTGACAAAATGGATACAGAATATATTGCGAGACCATGAAGAAACTTTGCAGAGCCATCCAAAACAAACATCATGGGATGTCTCCTTCATGACAATACGTGTCTGCACATCGCTCATGCAACACAAGAGTTATTGACTTCCTTTGGTTGGGATGTTTTAGGCCACCTCTCCCACAGCCCCGACCTCGCACCCAGTGACTATCGTCTGTTCACTAAATTGAAGGAACACTTTTACAACGAGGAGGAGGTGAAAATCTAAGCGACAAACTGGCTGAAAAAGGGCGGAGGGAAACTTCTATGACACAGGCACCAAAAACATGTCCATGGATGACAAAATGTATTGAACTGAATGTGATGGTGTGGAAAAATAATGACATCCCTATGCTACAATCCATGGAAGTTTTATTAAAACACGTTCATTCTTTGTATTTAAAATATCTTGTAACCTTATCTACTGGATAACCTTCCTAAAATATTCAATTCAAGACAGACAGGAGTCACGTCCCACTCACCTTCCCCTTGTATGGCAAGCCAGGCTTAAACTGCTTCCTGGTGTCTTTGCTGTACTTGATGTCGACGAGCTGCTTCTGGACGGCGGTGGAGTCGTCAAACATGAACTGCCGGCTCCCGTCGGCACTGGTCACGGAGGCCCACATGTTGACGGCGCCTCTGAAATGCTCGGGCACATCGGCGGGCATCATGTCCTTAACGCACACTTCGAAATCCGCAGAGCCGTCAATCTGCCACGGAGGAGCAGAAGAGCATTACCGAGGGCTTCGGGAACACACAACATACCAGACTCATCTTACCTCTTGTTTCGATAGAGTTACAAGCTTGGTAGATGCAGGGAATGCTGCGGATGGAGCATAACTTGATTTCATCAAGGCCTTCCTTTGTTGAAGGAAGGCCTTGATGAAATCAAGTTATGCTCCATCCCATGTCCCCCATGACCTTCTTGCAAACAAATTAAGTCAAACGTGGGTTAGGCAATACTACTCTTAAGTGGGTCTGTAATTGGTTAAGCGACCGAACCCAAAGGGTGCTTCTCCCCAATGGTTCCTCTATTTCATTCTGGAAAGTAGGGACTAGTGGGATGTGTTTATTATTTATTTATTTACGATATTTCTATCCCGCCTTTCTCAAACCCGAAGGTGACTCAAGGCGGCTTACAACCATGCAGCCATTTGATGCCTTAACAATATACACTTAAAACCACATTTAAAACAGTCTTTATACTGGAGATTTTTCACAAGAGCTATTCACATGAAGCCTTTCTCTCATACCAGGCCTTCTTATATCAGGCCATCCTCATACTGTGAGGTCTATCTCACAGAGAAACATCCTCACACAGACTGAGGAGTTCCGTCACTGAGGCAAACCAACACTAACAGGCTTCGGTCTATTCACTCTCCTCAGGGGACACTAGTTTGGCCCACTGACTCTAACAGTTTTCGGCCTGCTCACTCTTTCAGAACAGACAAGCATCCCGAGCTCTGAGGATGACCTGGGAAGGAATCCCACTGGAGCATTGCAGCACACCCAAATATCTGGGAATCACTCTGGACCATGCTCTGACCTACAAGAAGAACTGCCTGAACATCAAGCCAAAAGTGGGTGATAGAAACAATATCATACAAAAACTGACTGGCATAACCTGGGGATCAAAACCAGATACAGTGAAGACATCCTCCCTTGCGCTGTGCTACTCTGCTGCTGAGTATGCATGCCCATGTGGAACACATCTCACCACGCTAAAACAGTGGATGTGGCTCTTAATGACACATGCCGCATTATCATGGGGTGTCTGCGCCCTACACCACTGGAGAGATTACACTGTTTAGCTGGTATTGCACTACCTGACAACTACCTGGGAGTAGCAGCCAATAGTGAAAGGACCAAGGCAGTGACATCTCCGACCCACCCCCTGTTTGGGTATCAGCCAGCATGTCAACGACTTAAATCAAGAAATAGTTTTCTAAGATCTACAGAGACACTCGCTGGAACACCTCAGCAAGCGAGAGTCCAAAAGTGGCAGGCGAAAACCAGGAACCTCAATCAATGACTGATACCAAATGAGAGACTCCCTCCTGGACCCACAGAAAATTGGGCGACTTGGAAGGCCCTGAACAGACTGTACTCTGAACCAACCTTAAGAAATGGGGCCACAAAGTGGAATCCACGACATGCGAGTGTGGAGAAGAACAAACCACAGACCACCTGCTGCAATGCAACCTGAGCCCCGCCACATGCACAAGGGAGGACCTTCTTATAATAACACCAGAGGAACTCCAAGTGGCCAGATACTGGTCAAAGGACATTTAATCAACTACCAAGTTTGCAAATGTTGTGTTTTGTTTGTTTGTTTTTAATGCAATACAACTGCTTGGTTCGCTCCTGACACAATAAATAAATAAATAAACTCTTTCAGTGCTTGACTCACACTTTGTAATAAAAAATACTCAGTTAATTTTTAATATTTCTTACAGGGTGCCATAAAGAGAGTTCTGTCCTAGGCCCAGTTCAGCTCAACGTCTTTATTAATGACTTGGATGAAGGTTTAAAGGGCATGCTTATCACGCTTGCAGATGGGACCAAATTAGGAGGCAGAGCCAATACTCCAGAGGACAGGATCAGGATGCAAAAGGACCTTCACAGATGTGAGGCCAAAACTACCAACATGCATTTCAACAAAGACAAATGTAACATACGACACTGAGACAGAAAAAAAATGAAATGCAAAGATGTAGAATGGGAAATGCCTGGCTCCACAACAGTCCATGTGAAAAAGATCTTGAAGTCTTCATAGACAACAAGTTGAACATGAGCCAGGAGTGGGATGCAGCAGCTCAAGAAGCCAATGGGATTTTGGCCTGCATCCAAAGGAGTCTCGTGTCCAGATTGAGACAAGTTGTGGCGCCTCTTTTTCTGCTTTGGTCAGACATCTTTACCTGGAATCACACTGTCCAAATCTGGGCACCACAGTTCAAAAGAGATATTGACTCTAAGTTGTATGGTGTCCAGAGGAAAAGGGCAACTCTGGACCATGAATCCCTCTGAGAAGCATCTTAAAGGCTGAGAGAAGATATGACAGCCATGTATACATATGTGAAAGGATATCACAAGGAAGTGAGAGAAGGCTTGTATTCTGCTGCCATGGAAACTAGGGCTCAAATTACAGGAAAGGAGATTCCACCTGAACATTAGAATTTCCAGACTGTTCGAGCTGTTCAACAGTGGAACTCTCTGCCTCTGAGTCTGGGGGCAGCTCCTTCCTTGGAAACTTTTGAGCAGAAGTGTGATGGCCATCTGTCAGGGGTACTTTGATGGTGCTTTTCCTGCATGGCAGGGAGTTAGATGGTCCATGTGATCTCTTCCAACTCTTATGATTCTATGACCCCTGTCAGAAATATTAAAAATTAACTGGGTATTTTTGATTACAGAAGTGTGATTCAAGTACTGAAAGAGTGAAGCCTGTTAAGAGTCCGTGGGCCAAAACTAGTGTTATCCTGAGGAGAGTGAGTAGGCCGAAGCCTGTTAGAGTCAGTGGGCCAAAGCTAGTATCGTCCTGAGGAGAGTGAGTAGGCCAAAGCCTGTTAAAGTCAGTGGGCCAAAGCTAGTGTTGTCCTGAGGGGAATTAGTAGGCCGAAGCCCGTTAGAGTCAGTAGGCCAAAGCTAGTATCTTGAGGAGAATGAGTAGGCCGAAGTCTGTTAGGGTCAGTGGGCCAAAGCTAGTGTCATCTCGAGGAGAGTGAGTAGGCCAAAGTCTGTTAGGGTCAGTGGGCCAAAGCTAGTGTCGTCCTGAGGAGAGTGAATAGGCCGAAGTCTGTTAGAGTCAGTGGGCCAAAGCTAGTATCGTCCTGAGGAGAGTGAGTAGGCCGAAGCCTGTTAGTGTCAGTGGGCCAAAGCTAGTATCGTCCTGAGGAGAGTGAGTAGGCCAAAGTGTGTTAGAGTCAGTGGGCCAAAGCTAATGTCGTCCTGAGGAGAGTGAGTAGGCCGAAGCCTGTTAGAGTCAATGGGCCAAAGCTAGTATCGTCCTGAGGAGAGTGAGTAGGCCGAAGCCTGATAAGAGTCAGTGGACCAAAGCTAGTGTTGTCCTGAGGGGAATTAGTAGGCCGAAGCCTGTTAGAGTCAGTGGGCCAAAGCTAGTATCATCCTGAGGAGAGTGAGTAGGCCAAAGTCTGTTAGGGTCAGTGGGCCAAAGCTATCGTTGTCTTGAAGAGAGTGAGTAGGCCGAAGCCTGTTAGTGGGCCAAAGCTAATGTCATCTTGAAGAGAATTAGTATGCTGAAGCCTGTTAGAGCCAGTGGTCAGTGGGCCAAAGCTAATGTTGTCCTGAGGAGTGTGAGGTAATCCTCGGTATGATAATGCCTCATGTGTGAAGCTCCAGTGTAAAAGTTGAATTTTATTTCTGTTGTGGAAACCTTGTTATTGTAAATAATGCAACCATATTATGCTGCTACAAAGAAAAACCTCCTACAGAAGAGATAACATTGGTCTGTGTGTTTTTGTTCTTTTATCACTTTGGGCTACTGGTGCTGGGTCATGCTGCTGCTGCTAAGCTACTCTGCTGTGCATTTATGAGGAGGGTCTTTTGTTAATAAGCCCACTTGACTGACAACCCCTCCCAGTGTTGCCGCCGCCGCTGTCGTTCTACTTACGTCGGCAGTTTTTAGGATGGGATGCCCTGTCTCATGTCGATAGTACCCGACGCCGTTGACGGTCATGTTAACTGTCAGCCGCCCCACCACAGGTTTCCCAAACGTGTACCTGATAACAGAAGAACCATATATATATATAAAAATAGAAATATGTTTTCATATGTATCTTTTATAGTACTACATTTCAATATCTGTGTTTATAGAATTTTTACAGTGTTTCTGTGTTTTGACTGTGCTGTGATCCACTTCGAAGTACAAGGAGGGGCAGGTAAGAAATACAATTATTATTATTAATAATAATAATAATAATAATTTTCTTTCTTACCCGCCTCTCCTCGTGGCTCAAGGCAGCTTCCCACATAGCTAAAAACACATAATCATGATATAAACATATGTATGTGTCCTGTGACCCGCCTCAAGTCACATAGAGAGACAAGTAATAAATACTATTATTATTATTATCATCAGCATCATCATTATATTTTATTGGGTCTAACATTGTATCCAACTGGACCAAGACCACAAGCACGGTAGGACTGGACCAACCATCACTGTTCTATTTCACAATTTCATCTCTCGACACCCAAAGAGTCCTCCCATCCACCTCTGTAAATGTGCCTGATCCCTTCTAATTGGTTGACAGCCATTGCTATGCATAGTTCTGTTTTGACTGTCCCAGTGACATACCAATTCATCACTGCCTTTAAAATACTGTGATACCTTGACTTACGAGGTTTTTTCTGTGACTGAGCTCTTAACTCAAATGGCTCTTAGGTCAAATCAAATTTCCCCATTGAAAGGCTATTAATCTGTTCCAGCCCCCTTAAAAAAACCCAATTTTTTGTTACGTGTTTTTAAATAAGAAAAAAATGTGTTTTAGAAATAACAAATAATCTATAAAAATACATAATAATAAAAGAGAATGGAAAAAATATTTCCTTATTAACATTATTTTGGCGAGAACTGTTCCTCTCTGCTTCAAAGGCTCCAAAGTAAATTCTAGTATCTATCAATTGATTTAGTGTCACTTTAATAAGCTTCAAGAGATGTTCTTGAATTGGTTCAATACCCTGACTTTATGATTTATTCTCAGAGAAGGAATGAAAAGAGAAGAACGAGAAATTAAAACAAAGAAAAAGAAGGGAAGGGACAAGAAAGGAAGGAAGAGAAAAGAAAGGTAGAGAAGGGAAAGGAAGAGAGAGGACAGGAAATGACAAGAAGAGAAGGAAGAGAAAGGAAAGGAAAAAATGGAAGGGAAGAGAAAAGAAGGCAAGGGATGAGAAAAGAAGGTCAAGAAAAGAAAGGAAAAAATGAGATGGGAAGGATGAGAAAGGAAAAGATAAGAAGGGAAGGGACAAGAAAGGAAGGGAAGGGAAGATAAGAGAAAGGAAGGAAGATAAAAGAAGGGAAGAGATGAGAAATGGAAGACAAGAAAGGAAAGGAAAAGACGAGAACGGAAGGACAAGAAATAAAAAAGGATGGGAAGGTACGAGAAAGGAAGAGAAAGGAAAAGAAAGGAAGGGAAAAGAAGAGAAAGGAAAGGAAGGGAAGAGAAAGGAAGGACAAGAAAGGAAAGCAAAGGATCAGAAGGGAAGGAAGAGAAAGTAAAGTAAAGGAAGAGGAAGAGAAAAGAAGGGAAGAGGAAGAGAAAGGAAGGGAAGGGATGAGAAAGGAAGGACGAGAAAGGAAAAGAAGGGAAGGGACAAAAAAAAGGGAAGAGAAAGGAAGGAAGAGAAAAGGGAAGGGATGAGAAAGGAATGAAGTGAAAAGAAGGGAAGAAATGAGAAAGGAAGGATGAGAAAGGATAGGAAAGTAAGAGAAAGGAAGGAAGATAAATAAAAGCAATAAGGACAAGAGCAAGGAACTTTTCTGGTGATGTTCTATTGTAATAGTGCTCTCTTGCAATAGAGCTATTTCTTGTAACTCAAATCTTGGCTCACACATAAAAAAGAAAAAACTACAATGGCGAATCTCGAAAAACTTGTTAGTTCACTCGTAAGTCAAGGTTTCAGTGTACACACAACACAAAGTACGGCAAGAATGGCCCTACAACTAAGCCTCCCAGCCCCATTCACCTGGCAGTAACCGTTGCCTTCTCGCAGACATCAAAGTCCCGGATGTAGGGAGGGGAAACAATCTGGAGCTCAAACTTGGGTAAAACTAAAGCGGAGAGAATAGGGGGAAAAGTGGGGGAGGTGGAAACCGGCTGTTTTGATATCTCACTGTGGACCAGAAAACAACAGGAAAGTTACTAATTTTTTCCCTTCAAAAACAAGACAGTTTATTCCTGACTTGAAACATGATCTCAGGAAAAGTAACACACGATGAGCTGCCATGCTCATGTCCTGTTGCTCCTGAGATTAGAAATCAAAACACACAAGGGACGAGAAAGAAAAGAAAGGAAAGGATAGGATAAGAAGGGAAGGATGAGAAAGGAAAGGAAGGGATGAGAAAGGAAGGAAGAGAAAGGAAAGGAAAAGAAAGGAAGGGAAGATAAAGGAAAGGAAAATATGAGAAAGGAAAGGAAAAGAAAGGAAGGAAGAGAAAAGAAGAGAAGGAGTGAGAAAGGAAGGACAAGAAAGGAAAGGAAAAGATGAGAAGGACCTCCACAATCATTTTGCATATATTGAATGTTCAGCATAATTTAGAAATTTATCACTCTTCAAGGTAGCAAAAAGACTCTTTACTTGTTGTTGTTGTTGCGTGTGTTATGCATGTTGCTTGTGTTTTGCATGCTTGTTCCATGCTTGTGTTATGCTTGTTGAAGTCTTGTGTTATGGTTGTTGCTACATTTGTTGTTATGTTTGTCACTATGTTTGCTCTTATATATACCCTGCTTTTCCTCTCCACCAATAGACTCAAAGAGGCTTTCATATCATTAAATACAATATCATTGGTAGTTTTTAAAATCCAGTTAAAAATCCATAAAAACATAACAACTTCCAAAACTGGCTCTTTCTAGTCCCAGCAACCATGTCCCTTTAACGAGAGTGCCCAGCCGACCCCAGTCCTGAAAACTCACCATATTTCTGGACTTCAAAGGACTTGTTGTACTTGTGCCCTTGCATTTCGGCAAAGATCAGCCATTCCCCGAACACCGGCTGGTCGGACAAAGGGAAGCTCATGTTCAGGACACCTGCCAGGTAGAGGGAAGGAAACAAGACAGTGCACTGAGCATCCACACACAATGCGGGGGCCAGCAAAGAAGAGCCATGGGGGGATTTTTCCTCCCGCTGGAATTGAGTGCACAATCCGCTCTTCCTCCCCATGGATTCAGGGAGTGAGGTATCCCGATGGCCATATCTCAATACCCACCACAACAAACGGGCTTGAGGTTGTTCCACTCTATTATTCGAGACCCTCGAGGATCCTGAAAAGAGAGGTAGATGCTAGAAATAATAACAACAACTTCTCTCTGTGGCTGCTAGAATTATTATTATTATTATTATTATTATTATTATTATTATTATTATTATTAGAAAAACAACAAATGCAATTAAGGCCAGGATTGAAAAATCAGCTGATGACCCAAAATGCAGACTATGCAAGGAAGCTGATGAAACCATGGATCATATCCTCAGCTGTTGCAAAAAAATCGCACAGACGGACTACAAACAAAAGCACAACTCTGTGGCCCAAATTATTCACTGGAACTTATGTCACAAGTACCACCTACCACCAGTAAAGAATTGGTGGGATCATAAACCTGCAAAGGTCTTGGAAAATGAACACACAAAAATATTGTGGGACTTTTGAATCCAGTCTGACAAAGTTTTGGAACACAATACGCAAGACATCACGATTGTGGAAAAGAAAAAAGTTTGGATTATTGATGTTGCCATACCAGGTGACAGTCGCATTGAGGAAAAATAACAGGAAAAACTCAGCCATTATCAGGACCTCAAAATCGAACTGCAAAGGCTCTGGCATAAACCAGTATAGGTGGTCCCAGTGGTCATCGGCACACTGGGTGCCGTGCCAAAAGATCTCAGCTGGCATTTGGAAACAATAAACATTGACAAAATCACAATCTGTCAAATGCAAAAGGCCACCTTACTTGGATCTGCATGCATCATTCAGAAATACATCACACAGTCCTAGACGCTTGGGAAGTGCTCGACTTGTGATTTTGTGATACGAAATCTAGCATATAGATCTCGTTTACTGTGACATACTGTGGTGTCAGTAAAATAATAATAATAACAACAATAGCAGCAGCAGCAACAACAACAACAACAACAACTCTGTGGCTGCTAAAAATAACAGCAACAACTCTCTGTGGCTGCTAGAAATAAAATAATAATACTAGTAACAACTACTACTACTACTGCTACTACTACTACTACTCTCTGTGGCTGCTAGAAATAAAATAATCATAATAATAACTACTACTACTACTACTCTCTGTGGTGTCTAGAAATAATAAATATGATTATTAAAATTTAATTTCACAGCACAGTCAAACAAACAAACACTGCACACATTCTAAAAACACACATATTAAAATGTAGTTCTATAAAATACATATTAAAAATACACATTAAAAATACATATTCCTCGATCAAGAGGTGCACTCATGTGAGTCCAGTTGGTGCCTGTATAACACTCACCACCACGTAGGCTTCAATCTGAAAGGAAAAAAAGGATGAAAGAATAGATGAAGGAGAGAAAGAATGTACCGTAACTTTTTTTTTTGGCACACTATTACATTTCAGTCCCCTTATAAAGTTCAGACTAGAGATGGGAAAACCTGGGGGGAAAAAACAGAAAAAATGGGGGGAGGTTTGTTTTTTTTCTGTTCTTTTCCAAAGCCATTTTTTCTGGAAAAAAATGAAAAGGGTATAGAATAGGGTTGTTGTAGGTTTTTTCGGGCTATATGGCCATGGTCTAGAGGCATTCTCTCCTGACGTTTCGCCTGCATCTATGGGTATAGAATATGTTATAACAATTTATCTATGACATGGTAGAATCACTGAGTTGGAAGAGACCTCGTGGGCCATCCAGTCCAACCCCATTCTGCCAAGAAGCAGGAAAATCACCTTCAAAGCATCGAAAGAAAAGGTATTCAAACTATACAACATGAAGACCTCAATGAAAGATTTAATAGACTTTTTGTTTCTACACACCTTAAAAACACGAAAATAATGACTTTGACAAAAAAAACAGGAAAACAACTGTTTTTTCCCCCAATTTTTCTGAGTTTTTTCCTAGGCCTTCCCATCTCTAGTTCAGACTAAAACTAGGAGTGGATTCACCTCCCGCACACCTAGCTACAAAAACAGAGATCTGCTCGTCTTCTGATGCCCTCTTTCAAGGAAGTAATGGGCACCCATGTTCCTGCTGGGAGCTGTGCACCACCAAGGAGAGCCCATCCCACTACCAAGGAGAGCCCATCCCACCACCAAGGAGAGCCCATCCCGCCACTATGGAGAGCCTCACCCTCTCGTTGACCGGCCTCAAGTCTGGGCTGACTGCGAACAAGTTGATCAGCACTTGGAAAGAAAAGGAAGAAGCATCAGCAAAGGGTTGGAAAGGACCCAAGCCAAACACAGAACAGGAAAGCCCCTCCTGACTGCCCCGCTTGTCGCACCCACCTTTCTGCTTTGGACGGTAGATGGGTTTGTCTATCTGGATGAAAACAGAGGCCCCTTTGCTGTCCACGGTGACAGTCGTGTGGTTGTAGAAGACATAGCCCTTTTCAGCCAAGTGTCGGTTGCCCCATACCTTCAAGTGCGCTTGGCCCCGGAGCCCTGCGGGCACCTGGGAAAAAGAAGCCAAGGCTTGCCACTCAAGTTGCGAGTATTATTATTACTATTCACTTTTATTTATATTCCAACTTTCTCCCCATGGGGACTTGAGGTAGCTAACAATCCCACACACACCACCACCATCTGCCCAGGCACTGTAAACTACTTAAACCAGAAAAACCAGCAGCAATAGAATAATAGAATCACAGAGTTGGAAAAGACCTCATGGGACATCCAGTCCAACCCCCTGCCAAGAAGCAGGAAAATTGCATTCAAAGCACCCCTGACAGGTGGCCATCCAGCCTCTGTTTAAAAGCTTCCAAAGAAGGAGCCTCTCCCACACTCTGGGGCAGAGAGTTCCACTGCTGAACAGCTCTCACAGTCAGGAAGTTCTTCCTAATGTTCAGATGGAATCTCCTTTCTTGTAGTTTGAAGCCATTGTTCCGCAACCTAGTCTCCAGGGAAGCAGAAAACCAGTTCAATCCCTCCCCGCTATGACTTCCTCTCACATATTTATACAAGGCTCTCATGTCTCCTCTCAGCCTTCTCTTCTTCAGGCTAAACATGCCCAGCTCCTTAAGCCGCTCCTCATAGGGCTTGTTCTCCAGACCCTTGATCATTTTAGTCGCCCTCCTCTGGACACATTCCAGCTTGTCAATATCTCTCTTCAATTGTGGTGCCCAGAATTGGACACAAGATTCCAGGTGTGGTCTAACCAAAGCAGAATAGAGGGGTAGCATGACTTCCCTAGATCTAGACACTATACTCCTACTGATGCAGGACAAATCCCATTGTTTTTTTTTTTGCCGCCACATCACATTGTTGGCTCATGTTTAACTTGTTGTCCACAAGGACTCCAAGATCTTTTTCACTCTCGAGCCATGCATCCCCATTCTGTATCTTTGCATTTCATTTTTTCTGCCAAAGTGGAGTATTTTGCATTTGTCCCTGTTGAACTTCATTTTGTTAGTTTTGGCCCATCATTCTAATCTGTTAAGATTGTTTTGAATTCTGCTCCTGTTTTCTGGAGTATTGGCTCTCCCTCTCAATTTGGTGTCGTCTGCAAACTTGATGATCATACCTTCTAACCCTTCATCTAAGTCAGGGGTCCTCAAACTAAGGCCCGGGGGCCGGATGTGGCCCTCCAAGGTCATTTACCCGGCCCTCGCTCAGGGTCAACATAAGTCTGAAACGACTTGAAAGCACACAACAATAACAACAATCGTATCTCATCAGCCAAAAGCAGGCCCACACTTCCCATTGAAATACTAATAAGTTTATATTTGTTGAAATTGTTCTTCATTTTAATTATTGTATTGTTTTAAAGTGTTTTTTGCACTACGAATAAGATATGTGGAGCGTGCATAGGAATTCATTCATTTTTCCCCCAAATTATAATCCGGCCCTCCAACAGTTTGAGGGACTGTGACCTGGCCCTCTGTTTAAAAAGTTTGTGGACCCCTGATCTAAGTCATTAATCAAGATCCTGAACAGGACCGGTTCCAGGATCGAACCCTGCTTATGGCACTCCGCTCATCACTTCTTTCCAGGATGAAGAGGAAGCATTGGGGAGAATCACCCTCTGGGTTCGTCCATTTAACCAATTACAGATCCACCTAACCGTAGTTTTGCCTAGCCCACATTGGACTCATTTGTTTGACAGAAGGTCATGGGGGACCTTGTCAAAAGCCTTACTGAAGTCCAGATATGTTACATCCACGGCATTCCCCACATCTACCCAGCTTGAACCCATGCTAAGCATGGAATATTATTATTCTCGACCACTCCAACAATTACTATGTCAGACCAGGCAGAGAAGCCACTGAAATCCACAAGCACATGGACAATTTCAAAAGAAAGGAAGAAACCATGAAAATTTACAAAATTTGGCTACTGGTATTGAAAAATACTAGAATCAACACAGTGCCTAAGGAGCACCAACTATTCACTTTGCACATCTTAGCTCCTCCATTGCCTTCCTCCCCCCGCCCCCCAATTCTGCAATCCCCATGCAGTCTCCATTACTGTGGTTCAGCTTACCTTCAGCTTGACTATTCCTTTACCTGCAGAAGAGAGAAGAGCAGTCAGAGCCTGTGTTGCTTCTTCTTTTCCCCTCCAGAAACCCCAAATACATTTTAGTTATAAATGGAGGTCAAGTGGAGAGAGTGGTCAGTTTTAAGTCAAAGAAAACTCTGAACCCCACTGATGATGGACCTAGATCTAACTTGGCACACAGAACCTCCATGACCAACTGAACATACTGGAGAGATTTGACGGGACTGACGCACCATGGTAGGAGTTGTAATTCATCCTGCAGCTGGAGAGCATACTGAACTCCACTGATGTAATATTAAAAGAAAATTCAGATCCAGAAAAATTAAAAACTATAGGCCTATATCATTACTAAATTTAGATTATAAAATTTTACGCAAAATAATAGCAGAAAGATTCAAAATATTTTTGGAAAAATGGATCAAAGAAGAACAAATGGGTTTTCTCCCAAACAGATACCAAAGAGAGAATGTCAGGGTGGCGATCAACTTAATAGAGTATTACGAAAGGAAAATCCAAAAAGAAGTAATGTTCCTGGCTTTAGATGTTGAAAAAGCATTCAATAATGTTAACTGGGATTTTTTAAAAGTTACTTATGAAGGAAATGGATATTGGATATTTTTTTCAAAATATAATTGAAACCATATACAAAAATCAAGAAGACAGACTTTAAGTATTGACAGAGTTTCAGAGAGTTAAGCTGGCATGATGTGAGTTGTAGTTCAACCACAACCTTAGGCATTTTGTGAAATAAACAAATGACTTCTTCTAATAACACAGGCAATGCCGGGTACCCAAGCTAGTAGAACAAAAAGCATAATTTCTCTCAATTTCTTTATCTGCCTTCCTCCATCATCTCCTTATGGATCCACCTCTCCAGCCATCCCTCCCTCCATTCAGCATAAACCTACCCAGAACCATTCCGTGGCCTCGTGCCACTGCCTCCCCCTTGATGACCAGCTGGACCTGGACAGGGGTCTCTGCGACAGGGTTGAAAATAGTCACACTGACCGACTCCTCCACCCCCGAGCGGAAGACGGAGGGCACCACCACCAAGTAGCCCCTGGAGAAAAGGAAGAGAGGAGGGAAGCCCCAAGGAAGGGAGAGCGGGAGTCGGGAGGAGCCACACAAACTCACAAGAATCCAAGAGGCACTTCATTGCACACAGGCACAGGATGCTGTTTCATCTCTTTCTCTCTTTCTTTCTTTATCTATCCATATATCTTATGGAACTTAATCTGATGGCCCTTGGGGTGTAGTCCAACATTAGGATCATATATCTTTCTATGTATCTATCTATCTTTCCATCTTTCTTTCTATCTAATTTTTCTATCATTTTACCTATCTGTCTGTCTGTCTATCTATCTATCTATCTATCTCTCCATCTATCTTTTTAATCTATGTATCTATCTATCTTTCCATCTTTCTATCTAATTTTTCTATCATTTTATCTATCTATTTATATTTCTATCTATGTATCTATCTATCTATCTTTCTTTTTAATCTATGTATCTATCTATCTTCCCTTCTATCTAATTTTTTATCATTTTATCTATCTATATTTCTCTCTATCTATTTTTAATCTATGTATCTTTCTATCTATCTTTTTAATCTATCTATCTATGTTTCTATTTATCTTTTTAATCTATGTATCTATCTACCTTCCCATCTATCTAATTTTTTATCATTTTATCTATCTATATTTCTATCTATTTTTAATCTATCTATCTTTTTAATCTATCTATGTTTCTATTTATCTTTTTAATCTATGTATCTATCTTTCTATCTTTCCATTTTTCTAATTTTTCAATCATTCTATCTATCTATATATCTATTTATCTTTTTAATCTATCTATCTATGTTTCTATCTATCTATCTTTTTAATCTATGTATATATCTATGTTTCTATCTTTTTTATCTATGTATCTATGTATCTATATTTCCATCTTTCTTCCAATCTAATTTTTCTATCATTTTATCTTTCTTTCTTTCTGTCTCTTTCTTTCTGTCTATGTTTCTATCTATCTATCTTTTTAATCCATCTATCTATCTATCTATGTTTTTAATCCATGTATCTATTTATCTATGTATCTATCTATGTATCTATCTTTTTAATCTAGTTATCTATGTATCTATCTTTCCATCTTCCGATCTAATTTTTCTATCATTCTATCTTTCTTTCTTTGTATCTGTCTATGTTTCTATCTGTCTGTCTATCTATCTATCTACCTATTTATCATTGTATCTTTCTATCTAGCTATCTATCTATCTATCTGTCTAACTTTCTATGTATCTGTCTATGTTTCTATCTATCTGTGTATCTATCTGTCTATCTATCTATCTTTTTAATCTATGTATCTATCTTTCCATCTTTCTTCTGATCTAATTTTTCTATCATTTTATCTTTCTATATTTCTGTCTGTTTTTTTCTGTCTATGTTTCTATCTATCTGTGTTTCTATCTGTCTAACTTTCTATGTATCTGTCTATGTTTCTATCTATCTGTGTATCTATATCTATCTATCATTCTATCTATCTAGCTAGCTAGCTAGCTATCTGTCTAACTTTCTATGTATCTGTCTATGTTTCTATCTATCTCTGTATCTATATCTATCTATCATTCTATCTATCTATCTATCTATCTATCTAGCTAGCTACCTAGCTAGCTAGCTATCTGTCTAACTTTCTATGTATCTGTCTATGTTTCTATCTGTGTTTCTATATCTATCTATCATTCTATCTATCTATCTGTCTAACTTTCTATGTATCTGTCTATGTTTCTATCTATCTGTGTTTCTATATCTATCATTCTATCTATCTATCTATCTAGCTAGCTAGCTAGCTAGCTGTCTGTCTCTTTCTATGTATCTGTCTATGTTTCTATCTATCTGTGTTTCTATATCTATCTATCATTCTATCTATCTATCTAGCTATCTGTCTAACTTTCTATGTATCTGTCTATGTTTCTATCTGTGTTTCTATATCTATCTATCATTCTATCTATCTATCTGTCTAACTTTCTATGTATCTGTCTATGTTTCTGTGTTTCTATATCTATCTATAATTCTATCTATCTATCTGTCTAACTTTCTATGTATCTGTCTATGTTTCTATCTATCTGTGTTTCTATATCTATCATTCTATCTATCTATCTATCTATCTATCTAGCTAGCTAGCTAGCTAGCTGTCTGTCTCTTTCTATGTATCTGTCTATGTTTCTATCTATCTGTGTTTCTATATCTATCTATCATTCTATCTATCTATCTAGCTATCTGTCTAACTTTCTATGTATCTGTCTATGTTTCTATCTATCTGTGTATCTACCTACCTATCTATCTATCTTTTTAATCTATCTATCTATCTATCTTTTTAATCTATGTATCTATCTTTCCATCTTTCTTCCGATCTAATTTTCCTATCATTTTATCTTTCTATATTTCTGTCTGTTTCTTTCTGTCTATGTTTCTATCTATCTGTGTTTCTATCTGTCTAACTTTCTATGTATCTATGTTTCTATCTATCTGTGTATCTATCTTTCTATATATCTATCTTCCTATCTTTCTTTCTATCCTTAATTTTTCTATTATTCTTTCTATCTATCTATCTATCTATCTATCTATCTATCTATCTATCTATCTATCAGACTATCTTTCTACATCTATCTATCTATCAGACTATCTTTCTACATCTATCTATCTATCAGACTATCTTTCTACATCTATCTATCAGACTATCTTTCTACATCTATCTATCTATCTATCTATCTATCTATCTATCTATCTATCTATCTATCTATCAGACTATCTTTCTACATCTGTCTCTATCTATCTGTCTGTCTGTCTGTCTGTCTATCTTTCTATCTATCCATTCATCCCTCTCTCTCTCTCAAGGAATGAGTCGGGTGCCACCAGCCCAGGCTCCTCAAGGGAAGGAAGAAGGCACTCTGCACATGCTCGGGGTTCCTCTTCCTTTCCCTCCCTGCCTGCCTGCCTGCTTCCCTTTCTGCCTGGTCCTCCCTGGCAGAGTTGTTGTTCCCCCGGAAGAAGGGCCGGGAAGGAAAGTGGTCCTACTCACTGCTTGGTCGGGCTGCACAGCGTTGGGAAGAAGAGGAGGAGGAAGAGGAGGAGGAAGCGCAGGAGCAGCCTCAGGGAAGGGGAAGCCCAGGGCATGGCTGCTCCTGCAAGAGGTCCTTCCTTTGTCCCGGTCGAGAAGGAAGGAAGGAAGGAAGGAGGGAGGGAGGAGGCAAAGGCAACTCCGGGTCCGGCAGCCGCGAGCTGCGGCTTTTGGCTGCTGCTCCTCCGCTCCGGCTCCTCCTCCTTCCCTCCTTCCTTCCTTCTTTCCTTCCTTCCCTTCTTCCCTCCCTTCTTCTTCCTCCCCCTCCTCCTTTGTTCGCTTGGGAGGAGGAGGAGGAGGAGGAGAGAGGAGAGGTGGGACAGGCAGCAATGGGATGCTTGCATGCTTCTTTTGGAAGTATTCCCATCTGGGAAACTTTGGCCCTTGCTCCAGGTGTTTTGGACTTCAACTCCCACAATTCCTCACAGCCGATAGGCTGTGAGAATTGTGGGAGTTGAAGTCCAAAACACCTGGAGCAAATACTGGACCTCACAACATCTGAGGATGAAGACAAAACGACAGGAGAGAATGCCTCTAGACAGGGGTAGGGAACCTTTGGCCCTCCAGCTGTGGTGGACTTCAACTCCCACAATTCCTTGAGGCTCGGCATTGGGCCAAGGTAAGCCTTTGGGGCGAATGCCGAGCCTCAAGGAATTGTGGGAGTTGAAGTCCACCACAGCTGGAGGGCCAAAGGTTCCCTACCCCTGTTCTAGACTCTAGACGTCGAGCTCCACTGGCTGCAGTTTGCTACCGGGCTCAATTCAAAGTGCTGGCTTTAGCCTATAAAGCCCTAAACGGTTCTGGCCCAGCCTACCTATCCGAACGCATCTCTTCCTATGAACCCTCCAGGAAGTTAAAATCATCTGAGGAGGCCCTGCTCTCGATCCCGTCTGCTTCGCAAGCACGCTTGGCGGGGACGAGAGACAGGGCCTTCTCTGTGGTGGCCCCTCAGCTGTGGAACTCCCTGCCTAGGGATATTAGATCAGCCCCCTCCCTCCTGACCTTTCGTAAGAGAGTGAAAACCTGGCTCTTCGAGCAGGCATTCGGAACCCCGGAATAGTCAAGCTTGAGATGGAGAATGACCCAGGAACGGCCAAGACGATGAAACGGATGAGGATTGGATTGAGAGGATATAGCTCTTTTTTGTCTAAATGCACTTAATTGTTTTTGCTTTTGTATTGTATTGATGGCATCGAATTGTGCCAATATGTAGACCGCCCTGAGTCGCCTGCGGGCTGATATGGGTGGGATATAAGCGATGTAAATAAATAAATAAATAACTCTCAGGCTTCACAACCTTGTGACATTACAGGCCTGTGCAACAGGGATTAGAATGGGATTTGTGTTAGGGAAAAACTACCCTAAATAGACAGCAGAGCATTCAGTAAACCAGGTATGGGCAAACCCAGAGCGGCCCCTTGGGCTCTTTTCTCAGGCTCCCCTCTCTCTCACCATCCTATCTTTCCTTCCTCCTTCCCTTCCTCTTCCTCTTTCCCTTTCCTTCCATCCTTTCCACCCTTTCGTCCTTCCGTCCCTTTTTTCTTTCCTTCCTTTCTCCTTCCCTCCCTCCCTTCCCTCTTTCTCTTCCATCCTTCCCTCTTTCTCCTTCCTTCCTTCCTTTCTTCCTTCCCATTTGTCTTTTTTTCATTCCCATTCCTTTATTCTTCCTCCCATCCTTCTCTTCACCCTTTCTACCTTCCCTTCCTTCCTTCCCTTCTACCCTTACATCCTTCCTTCCCTCTTTCCTCCCTCCCTCTTTTTCTTTTCATCCTTCCTTCCTTCTCTCTTTTTCCTTCCTCCTTCCCTTGCTCTTTCTCCTTCTCTTGCTCTTTCTCCTTCCCCTTCCTTCCTTCCTTTCCACCCTTTCGTCTTCCCTTCCTTTTCTTTCCTTCTCTCTTTCCTTTCTTCTTACCTCCCTTCCTTCCCTCTTTCTCCTTCCTTCTTCCTTCCTTCCCGTTTGTCTTTCTTTCCTTCTCATTCCTTTATCCTTCCTTCCATCCTTCTCTTCATCCCTTTCTACCTTCCCTTCCTTCCTTCCTTCCTTCCTTCCCTTCCCTTCCACCCTTACATCCTTCCTTCCCTTTTGTCTTTCCTTCCTTCCATCTTTCCTCCCTTCTTCTCCTTCCATCCCTTCCTCCCTTTCGTCCTTCCTTCCTTCTCTCTTTCCTTCCTCCTTCCCTTGCTCTTTCTTGTTCTCTTGCTCTTTCTCCTTCCCCTTCCTTCCTTCCATCCCTTTCGCCCTTCCCTTCCTTTTGTCTTCCTTCTCTCTTTCCTTTTTTCATACCTCCCTTCCTCTCCCTCTTTTCCTTCCTTCCTTCCTTCCTTCCTTCCTTCCTTCCTTCCTTCCCATTTCTTTCTTTCCTTCTCATTCTCTTATCCTTCCTTCCATCTTTCTCTTCATCCCTTTCTACCTTCCCTTCCTTCCCTTCCCTTCCACCCTTACATCCTTCCTTCCCTTTTGTCTTTCCTTCCTTCCCTCTTTCCTCTCCTTCCCTTCCACTCCCTTTCATCCTGCCTTCCTTCTCTCTTTTTCTCCTTCTCCTTCCTCTTCCATCCTTCCTCTTTCCCTTCTTCTCTCTTTCCTTCTCCAAACTCCTTGAATAAATCTTGTCAAAAATCCCTGTTATAGATTCACCTTAGGGCAGTTTTTCTCAGCTTTCCTGATGCCATGACCCCTTAATACTGTTCCTCATGTTGTGGTGACCCCAACCATAACATTATTTTCATTGCTACTTCATAACTGTATTTGCTACTGTTATGAATCATAATTGATGTCTGAGGTGGAATATCCATTGGCCTGTAGAGCCCAGTTGAGGTGGTTCAGTTCATCTTGGAGGAGATGGGGTTCACAAAGAAAAAGAATCGGCAGACCATGCAAAAAGAATCTGTGAACCCCACCTCCTCCAAGATGAACCCCACCTCCTCCAGCAGACCTCACCTCTGAGGATGCTTGCCATAGATGCAGGCGAAACGTCAGGAGAAATGCCTCTAGAACATGGCCATATAGCCCGAAAAAACCCACAAGAACTGAGTGATTCCAGCCATGAAAGCCTTCGACAATACAAGAATACTAGTTTTCAAATTTTGTTATCTGACACTCTGGCTCGGGATCATGGGAATTGTAACTCTACAGTACTGAGGGCAGTGCAGGTGGAATCTCCTTTCCTTCCATTTGAACCAATGGCTCTGCTTAGTGCAGCCACCCAAAACCTCCAGCTCAGCCCTAGACACCTTCCAGCTTAGAGTTGTTGTTGTTGTTGTTGTCGTCGTCATCCTCACCTTCATCATCACCCCTCTTGAATTGCTTTGCCCAGTGTGATTCCAGGTAAAGAGGTCTGACCAAATAGAGGCACTCGATCCAGACAGAATTCTCCTTTTGATGCAGCCCAAAATCCCATTGGCTTTTTGAGCTGCTGCATCACACTCTTGGCTCAGGTTCAACTTGACTCCAAGATCTTTTTCACATGGACTGTTGTCGAACCCAAAAGGAAGGGACTCACACAAGGAAAGAGGAAGCCCCTGCTGATCCTCTGGCTCTGATTTGTCTCTTCTCTAGACGCAATTAGAAGAGTCAGTCGTTTTCTCTCGTCCGGATGCTTTCTCGTTTATCATGCCTTCGTTTCCTATACGCATGCATGCACTTCTCCTGGGATGATAAAAGAACACATTCTTGGGGCATCCTTTCCGTTTGGGGAGGCTGGGTGGCCATCTGTCAGGGGGGCTTTGATGATGCTTGCATGGAAGAAAAAAGGGCTAGAATGGATTACCTTTGGGGATCTCTTCCTATTATTATTATTATTATTATTATTATTATTAAGCAGGAGCTGGATAGCCATCTGTTGGGGTGGTTTGGATGATGCTTTTCCTGCATGGAAYAAAGAAAGGGGCTGGACCGGATGACCTTTGGGGGTCTCTTCCATCATCATCATCATCATCATCATCATCATCATCATCATGCAGGAGCTGGATGGCCAAAAGGAAAGGGTTTGGCTTGGGTGGCCTTTGGGGATCTTTTCCAACTCTGTTTATTATTATTATTATTATTATTATTATTATTATTATTATTATTATTATTATTATTATTATTATTATTAAGCAGGAGCCTGATGGCCATCAGTAGGTGTGGCTTTGATTATGCTTTTCCTGCATGGAAGAAAGAAAGGCACTAGACTGGATGACCTTTTGGGGTCTCTTCCAACATCATCATCATCATCATCATCATCATCATGCAGGAGCTGGATGGCCAAAAGGAAAGGGTTTGGCTTGAGTGGCCTTTGGGGATCTTTTCCAACTCTGATTATTATTATTATTATTATTATTATTATTATTAAGCAGGAGCTCAGGAGCTGGATAGCCATCTGTTGGGGTGGTTTGGATGATGCTTTTCCTGCATGGAAGAAAGAAAGAGACTAGACTGGAATACCTTTTGGGGTCTCTTCCAACATAATAATAATAATAATAATAATAATAATAATTATTATTATTATTATTATTATTATTATTATTATTATTCTGGATGGCCATCTGTTGGGGGGGTTTGGATGACGCTTTTCCCGCATGGAAGAAAGAAAGGGACTGGACCGGATGACCTTTGGGGGTCTCTTCCAACATTGTTGTTGTTGTTATGCAGGAGCTGGATGGCCAATAGAAAAGGGTTTGGCTTGGATGACCTTTGGGGATCTTTTCCAACTCTGATTATTATTATTATTATTATTATTATTATTATTAAGCAGGAGCCTGGTGGCCATCTGTAGGTGTGGCTTTGATTATGCTTTTCCTGCATGGAAGGAAGAAAGGGACTAGACTGGATGACCTTTTGGGGTCTCTTCCAACATAATCATCATTATTGTTATTATTATTGTTATTATTATTATTATTATTACTATTATTAAGCAGGAGCTGGATGGTCATCTGTTGGGGGTGCTTTGATGAAGGGAGTTGGAGGCGAAGGTGGTTCCAAATCACGCAAGCATCAAGCAAGGCGAGCAAAGAGACCCTCGCTCTGCAGTCTCTTCCAAATCTATTACTATTATCATTCATATTAGTGAGGCTGGATGGTCATCTGTTGGGGGTGCTTTGATTGTACTTTTCCTGCATGAAGGCAGAAGGGGGTTGGACTAGATGGCCTTGTTGGAGTATGTAAGAAGTCAGTTAGTGTGTGTGTGTGAACTGTAAAATAAGATGCACAAAGCTAATTGGTTGGGCTACTCTCGTAGAGCTGGCTGAGCCTGAGAC